ACATAAGACTACTTAAATTGCAATAAAAATAGAAAATTTAGTTTGTAAAACGAAAATACAGAAATTCATTTGTATTCAATATTTTACCAAATTTTCATTAAAACTGTTTAATTTTCAACTTTATATGAATTTACCATATATTATAATAATATAAATATAGTAAATATTATTATAGTTTATACACTTCATTACTAACTACTTAGTTAAGTTTGAATTAGTGTTTTCTACAAGAAAAAAATGTTTTTAAATCTCAACAATTCGCTTTCACAGAAAAGTCTTCGAATTGTTCAGTATTTTGTGGTAAGGTTTGAACAAATCTTTATATGTTTATATTTTTTTAGTTGGAAAAACCCTGTTTTCAAATTAGATAGTTTTCTTCCTAGTTCCATAATATACCATAAAATTATACCAAAGCAATTCGTTAATGAAATTAACTTTAAATTTCAGATTTGCATCATTTTAATACACTTTGTGTTTAAACTTAGAAACTGATGAAATAATGACGGTAATAGAATAAATAAAGAAACTAACTAACTGACTACATACGTAAATAAAATGAGTCTCTAATACATTTACTATTATGGTAAATACCGACGGGGTGATGGGTTCGTGATGCAATTCTAATTTGATTGTTTTGCGTGAGGGGAATTCAACTTTTTTTTTTCGTCGTCGTCGTCGTCTCCTTTTCACGTTCAGTTTATTATATTCGCGAGGAGGAAGGGCGCAATATAAATTGAAAAACGAGACCGAAACGGAGGGAGTTAGACTATGTGCGTGTGGTTGTGTGAAAGGAAAGAAAGAGACGGAGTAAATGTGTGTGTTTGTGTGAAAGAGAGAAAGAGTCTGGGAATTGAAACAGGGTTGTCCTCGATGCAACAGGTTAATATAGTATGCATGCACGGAGTGAAGTGGCTGCGCCGGGGAAAATGATTATGATGTCGCGACGAGCGTGTCATTCGTCCGCATCCTTGATCCTTGCATCCTACAAATCCCTATTCTCATCCCCCTCCCCTCGAACGTACAGAAACCTCATAAATAATCGTTGTCATTTTGCGGAGATTAGCTAATAAGTCAACACGGAGTGAGGTAGAGCGAGTGAGTGAGGGTGGAGGAGTTCGGTCATTCTCTAATATATGGACATTGTTCGACTTTGAATGCCTCTAAGGGTAGGGGGGGATGCACGCGATGCCTCGAAGGGAACAAAAAAAAAAAGGGATATGCGATGGAGAAGCTCCAGAAACTTTTAATTCCCTCCATAAATTCGCCACAATTTATATTCACTTAACTTCTCTCCCTCTACGAATGATGCTTTTCTATTTTGCCCTCTCTCTCTTTCACACACACACTTATATGAGTGTACATTATTTATAGCTTTTTGTTTTCGCTATGAATTACGACATCTAGATTCGATTTTAATTGATTCTCATCCCCCCCGCGCGTTTAGCTTTTCCACCCTAACTCGTAAATACGTATTTTTCATCCAATAAAATTAATGGTCCCCGGTCGAGGAATCAGTTTTTGGTTTCTCTCCTCGCAAAACCCAATAAAAGTCCGCACGGATCGAACATTGCACATCCGCAATACCCGAAGATTGATGAAAATGCATTACAAATCTCAAATATATTTCGTAAACTTAGTAAAATTTAGCAATTGAGATTAAACATTCTTGTAGTTGAAATATTCGTGCTTTTCTAAATTCGGTAGGAAGAAGCAACTTGCTTTATTGTTATGCAATTAGTGAAGAACAAAGGATTTCGAGGGTGAAATCGATTTCGATCTCAACATGACTTATCTCCATCTACGCTCTTTGCATTGTGTTCACGTCACGACATGGGTTTCAGGTTTCACGTCAATTTGCATGCAGCGATGAAAAAAAATAAATAAAAATTCGCTCACTCGATTTTTCGATTCTTAAAAAACGTTTTTTTTTAGGTTAGATTAAATTAGGTTAGGTAATGAAAATCATCATATTTCTCGATAACTATACACGACACAATTACAACTGAGCACTCAAATTAAAGATGAATATTTAAGTTTTCCAACTTCTCCAAATTTACGTTCAAAGTCTTCGTAAATCATCTTGAATCTCGATAACTATACACGACATAATTATTTCTTTGGTATAATTTTATGGTATATTATGGAACAAGGAAGAAAACTATGTAATTTGAAAACAGGGGTTTTCCAACTAAAAAAATATAAACATATAAAAATTTGTTCAAACCTCATGAAACCTTACCACAAAATACTGAACAATTCGAAGACTTTTCTGTGAAAGCGAATAGTTGAGTACTAAATGGTAATTGTGTCGTGTATAGTTATCCAGATTCAAGATGATTTACGAAGACTTTGAACGTAAATTTGGAGAAGTTGGAAAACTTAAATATTTATCTTCAACATTGAACATTGATAATCCTTATTTAACCATGAATTTAATGTTAAACTTGAATTAAGAGTCTTCAGAATCGGGCGTTTAAAAGTTGATTTCCATCATTATTTCGTGAGTTTCTAAGTTTAAACACAAAGTGTATTCAAATGATACAAATCTGACAAAATATTAGAAATTTAAAGTTAATTTCATAACCGAATTTCTTTGGTATAATTTTATGGTATATTATGGAACAAGGAAGAAAACTATCTAATTTGAAAACAGGGGTTTTCCAACTAAAAATATATAAACATATAAAGATTTGTTCAAACCTCATGAAACCTTACCACAAAATACTGAACAATTCGAAGACTTTTCTGTGAACGCGAATAGTTGAGTACTAAATGGTAATTGTGTCGTGTATAGTTATCCAGATTCAAGATGATTTACGAAGACTTTGAACGTAAATTTGGAGAAGTTGGAAAACTTAAATATTTAACTTCAAAATTGAACATTGATAATCCTTATTTACCCATGAATTTAATGTTAAACTTGAATTAAGAGTCTTCAGAATCGGGCGTTTAAAAGTTGGTGGATTAATGTGATGTAACTGTGCGGTAAATGGAAATGTTCGTTTCGCTCCCTCGATGTGTGGTGGGAAGGAGGCGGTAAATATTGAAGAGGCGATCGGAAAGGGTTGAGTCGGGGGATAATTAGAACAAATCCCGTTGTCGGCGCACGGTCGGCTGGTTAACAAATGAACGTCGGCGGGCCGAAGGGTTAAGGTTGCGGAGGGCGGATCAACATGCTTAAAATTTTAATTGTGAACAAATAACGGATTGTATGTAAACGATTATTTGGATAATGGTCGATCATTATGATGATGATGATGATAATGGTGATGATGTTGATGATGATGATAGAAATTGACGGACGGACCGCCGCCGCGGTAAATGAACTGCGGATTGCGAGCGAACGAACGTCGTTTTCCCTGACTTTGCAATAAAGTTATAAAACCGGGCAGGAAACACCGCCGTCGGCAAATAAAGTGTGCTGCGATCTGAGTTGGCGTTTTTATGCAACTAGTGTTTGTTTCTTCTTCCGACGATGTGTATAGGAACAAACCCCTCTTAGAAACAAAGAATTAAACTAACGAAGACCACGTTCATAAACCACCACAAATTTCCTTTTTTTTTTCTTGCAAACTTTTTAATACAAAGATCACAATTCTTTTCTAACAACTTTATTTTGTTCAAAAACTAATAAATTTGGGATTCGTTCGTCTTACTTTCAGTCACGCGCTGTGCATTGGTTGTTGCGTAAAATTCACGCGATACATTTACGATTTCCATAGGAGGTGAATGCACGTTAAGTAATTCAATATTTGTTATTATCAAACAATAAATGGCTTCTAGATGGTTTACGAATAACAAGAACAAAGAGAAACATTTATATATATCGAATGCTCATCACACATTGCAAACACTTCTCAGAGTTTATATTGAGTAAATTAAAATTTGTTAATATCTTCCAGACTTCGAAAAGAACATTTTTTTTTTAATTTGTCCATAAAAGTAAATCTGAAAAAGTTACGAATATCGCAGATGGCTCTTTGGAAAGCATACATATTTATCTTTAATTAGAGTACTAAATGGTAATTGTGTCGAGTATGATTATTGAGATTCAAGATGATTTACGAAGACTTTGAACGTAAATTTGGAGAAGTTGGAAAACTTAAATATTTATCTTTAATTTGAGTGCTCAGTTGTACTTGTGTCGTGTATAGTTATCGAGAAACGTGATGATTTTCATTACCTAACATAATCTAATGTAACTTAAAAAAAAAACGTTTTTTAAGAATCGAAAAATGGAGTGAGCGAACTCTTTTTTTTATCTATTAGAGTCTCATTTTATTTACGTTTGTAGTCAGTTAGTTAGTTTCTTTATTTATACTATTACAGTCATTATTTCATGAGTTTCCAAGTTCAAACACAAAGTGCATTCAAATGACATAATATTTTGTCAATTTGTATCATTTGAATACACTGAAATAATGATGGAAATCAACTTTTAAACGCCCGATTCTGAAGACTCTTAATTCAAGTTTAACATTAAATTCATGGGTAAACAAGGATTATCAATGTTCAATTTTGAAGATAAATATTTAAGTTTTCCAACTTCTCCAAATTCACGTTCAAAGTCTTCGTAAATCATCTTGAATCTCGATAACTATACACGACACAATTACCATTTAGTACTCAACTATTCGCTTTCACAGAAAAGTCTTCGAATTGTTCAGTATTTTGTGGTAAGGTTTCATGAGGTTTGAACAAATCTTTATATGTTTATATATTTTTTAATTGGAAAAACCCTGTTTTCAAATTAGATAATTTTCTTCCTTGTTCCATAATATTCCATAAAATTATGCCAAAGAAATTCGTTAATGAAATTAACTTTAAATTTCTAATATTTTGTCAGATTTGTCAGACACTTTGTGTTTAAACTTAGAAACTCATGAAATAATGATGGAAATCAACTTTTAACATTAAATTCATGGGTAAATAAGGATTATCAATGTTCAATTTTGATTTTATATTTATAAAAGTCTCTTTATTCACTAATATAATGTTCTAATATAAAAAAATATAAACTAGGTTCATATAAAACAAACTGACGGATAGACAGAGAAAACGCTTAAAAATTAAGTTAATTACATATCACAAAACAAAAAAATTAAAATTAACATTGAGACCTTCAATGCTTGTACAATTTGTCCAGGATGGATTTGAGTGCGTGCAGAGAATTGGTAAAGATTCTGGGTTTATCTTTGCACTCGTAACCCCAGTCGGGTTTCAGGGAAGGTAGTGGAAGTTTCGTGTAAGCGGAGAAAGTGGATGCCTGCTTGCTGTTGTAAGATTTCACGACCATCTTCGCCTTCCTCTCCGAAAGCGTCTTCATCTTGGCGAAGGACTGCTCCAAGTTGGGGAGTTTCTTGATGCACTCCAGCCATTCCGGGTCGTGCGTGTACAGCCAGAACAGCGTACAGAAGTGCGGGAACAGATCTCCTTCCTTGTCGCACCAGTGCAACATCACCTTGACGAACTCCTCCAGGTATTGAGGGTACCAGCAGTTGTTCCTAGACTTCTCGTACTTGCAGAAATTGATCAGGATACTCGTGGCCAATTGGCATGCCTGCATGTCCGGCAACGAGCGTGCCGTCGATATCACCATGGCGAAGAGGTTCTCTGGGCCTTCCTTGCTCAACTGCAAGCAAGACTCCTGCGATCTTCTGGTGATGTAATCGAGATCTTGCAGTGCGCGGATCATCTGCAGCAAGCTCGAGTAGCTGTCGATGAGTATCTTCAACGCTCTGATCCGCCTCTGACCTAACGTCTTCTCGGGGACGGCGTCCACGGCCTTCACCCTGGTCCTGATCTGCTGCAGGTCCAAACTCATCGCCTTCCGCACTTTGTAACCACGCCACGCCGCTTGAATCTTCGTCGCCGAGTTCTTCTCCTTTCTGATCTTCTGCAATTCCGGATCCATAATACTTCTTCGCTCTTGCCTCGCCCTGAAAGCACGTTGGATCTTTATCGCCGACTCTCTCAAAGTAACGTACTTTCCCCTTTCTTCTCTCATCATCATCAACGATCTGTACCTACATTGAACGACAACAACGGCACGTCTCAACTGCGAATATTTCTTGCACTCGACAAATGTCCTATAAGCGCGCTGGATTTTCACAATCGATTCTCTGCATTTCAAATACTTTTGCGATTCAAATCTCATCATTCTCAAAGCTCTGTACCTCCTCTGAATCACAACAGCCGCTCTCCTCAATTCCAAATACTTCTTGCGTTCGCATTGCGCCCTGAAACCACGTTGAATCTTCACAGTTGATTCTCTCAGTCTTTCGTAGATTTCTTTTACAACTTTCATCAACATCAATGCTCTAAATCGACGCTGCACAACAGTTGCGGCACCTCTCAACTCCAAATATTTCTTACGTTCGCAGTGCGCCCTGAACGCACGTTGAATCTTCATAGTCGATTCCCTCAGAATTTCATACTTTTCTTTTTCAAGTTTCATCAATATCGACGCTCTAAATCTACGCTGCGCAACAACTGCGGCCTCTCTCAATTCCAAATAGTTTTTCCGCTGAACGCGAGTCCTGAAACACCTTTGAATTTTGATGCAACAGTCTTTAAGTTGCAAATACTTCCGACGCTCTAGTCGCATCAATTTCACAGCTCTGTACCTCCTCTGAATCACAACAGCCGCTCTTCTCAATTCCAAATACTTCTTACGATCGCAGTACGTCCTGAAAGCACGTTGAATCTTCACAGTTGACTCTCTCAGTCTTTCATACTTTTCTTTTTCAAGTTTCATCAATATCGACGCTCTAAATCTACGTTGAACAACAACTGCGGCACCTCTCAACTTCAAATAGTTTTTCCGCTGAACGCGAGTCCTGAAACAACTTTGAATTTTGATGCAAGAGTCTTTAAGTTGCAAATACTTCCGACGCTCGAGTCGCATCAATTTCACAGCTCTGTATCTTAACTGAACGTTAACAACCGATCGGTGAAGTCTCAAATAACTGTTGCAAGCGCTGTATGCCCTGTAATAACTCTGGACTTTAATCGCAGACTTTCTCAAAGTCTGATAATTGCGACGTTCCAATTCCATAACTTTTTGAGCCCTGAATCTGCACTGAATCACCGCTACACATCGCTTAAGTTCCAAATAGCTTGTACGCTCTTTATAAGCTCTGAACTTATTTTGGATTTTAACAGAGCTATCTTTCAGTTTTAAATAATTAGCCCTCTCCAGACGCATCAGCTTTAAGGCTCTGTATCTCTGTTGAATCGTTACTACAGAGCGTCTCAATTCCAAATAGTTTTTCCTCTCACCAAAAGCCTTGTACGCGCGCTGTATTTTTATAGATGATTCTCTGATCCTCTGGTAATGATCTCTTTCTGCCTGCATTAGTTTCAAAGATCTGTATCTTAACTGAACGTTAATTGTAGCCTTCCGCAATTCCAAATAGCTTTTCCTAACCACGTAAGCTTTAAATCTCCGTTGAATCTTTATAGTTGAGTCTCTCAGTTTTGAATACCTGTCTCTTTGGATTTGCATGAGTTTCGAGGCTTTATATCTTCGTTGCAGGTTGATCACTACACGCTTCAACTCTAAATAGTTTCTGCGATCTTGGTACGCTCTGAACGCACGTTGAATTTTAACTGTTGAAGTTTTAAGTTTCACGTAATTCTCTCGCTCGAACTGCATCAATTTGAGAGCCTTGTATCTTTCCTGAACGATTACTACCGATCGTCTCAGTTCCACAAAGTGTTTCCTTTCCTTTCGAGCCCTAAAGGCTCGCTGAATTGCAACAATGGCATCTCTCTTCTTCACGTATTGTTCCCTTTCCGATTTCATTAGCTGCGCAGCTCTGAATCTCCTTTGCACCAAGACGACTGCATTTCTCAAACTCACATAATTCTTGCGCTCGTTCCGGGCTCTAATCCATCTTTGCATAACAACAATTGCATTCTTCTTCTCCAGATATTTCACCTTTTCCATTTCCATGAGTTTCAAACACCTGAATCGTTGCTGGACGTAGATTGTGGCCAGACGTAATTGTTGGTATTCATGTTTATCTTTGTACGCTTTGAAGGCGCGCTGTATGGTGATCACAGAACCTCTGATTTCCAAATACCGTTGCTTTTCGGTTTCCATCAATTTTGTAGCTCTGAATTTGCGTTGAATCACAATAGCGGATTGCTTAAGTTTCAGGAAGGAATCCCTCTGAACTTGCATCGACTTTTTAGCGAAGTACATGTGCTCTACGTAATGAACCGTTGCTTTCAACGTCATAAATCTCTTCCTTGCCAGATATGTACGAGCCGTAGATTGGATTCGAAGTACAGCTGCCAGTTTCACGTGCATTTGTAACTTGACCAACCACTTTCTGCTGAAGCTTTGAATCGCTACGACGCTCTTTCTTAGGGACACGAAACGTTTTCTTAAGACATACATCCTGAAGCGTGCTTGGATTTTAATCGCAGCTCTGGTCTCCTTCATCAACTTCAAGTATTGTCTCAGCAGCGGTATGAAGAATTCTAACCTGGACCTGTACGTCTGCCTCTTATACCACACTTGGATTAATCGTGCCGCATTATTGCGCATCTCGAATCGCTTCTTCAATATTCTCCGCTTGATCACCATACTCAAACAGTTCCACCAGTGCTGCACGGTGATGACGGCCTTCTTCATTCTAGGACCTTCGAATTTATGGATAATCTGCCACAAGAAGGATAACGTTTTTTCCCGGTACCCATCAACGATCTCTTTGGGTTCGATTTCATGAAGAATCTCGTACTCCGCATCGACTAACGCTTTGAAAGCGATCTTCATGTTATGAACTTTCTGGATGCGCGATATCGCCGGCACCCGGAGGCTCTTCGTCAAGTCATCCCTCAGCAAGATGATCTCCATAATCCTCACCAGTCGAACGCCGTCTCTCAAATCCACGCCTAAATTTTCTATGGCGTATTCAAATTCGTGAATATACGTCTGCTTGTAACTGACCACGTACCCGATGAGTCTCAGAGACTTGGTGATATCGCCTATGGCGTGCAAAAGCAACGAAGAGAACTTGATCAGTAACTCTCTACTCTCCTTGATGACGGCATTCTTGCAGAACAGGCACGGATCGTGCGGTATTAATTTATTATTTTTACTTCGGTCCAGGAAGTACACCAACATGAGAAACTTTTTCAGCATGTGCTTGTTGATTTCCGCAGTGTAATTACTGGCATGCACACTCTTGTATTTCTTGAGCAAATACGGTTCGCTGAAGTAGTATTGCAACAAGAACTTGCTCAGCCCGAGGACGTCGGAATTCGATGTCAATTTAAGCTTGAATCCAAAGACGACCTCCAAGCCGATACGCAACCACAGCGGATTGTAGGAAAGGAACAGCGACATGACTTCCGATTGCAGCGATAAGTTTAGATGAACATCTCTGTCAGCTCTGATCTCAAATTTCTTGTTCTCAACCATCTTTACGCTCTTGGATAGAACCTCTGACATCTCCCTCGATCGGAATATAGCTAACGCGTTCCTCCTTAACACCTCCAAATGCCCTTTAACATGGACCTTATTGGATATCTCTTCTTTGCTCAACGGTTTCTCGACTTCCTTACGATTGCATTCCTGCCACAATCTGGAAATGTCTTTAGGGCCGTCGCTGTTCGCGCTGAGCTCCTCGGGCGGCGTTAAAAGTGCGTTCAGCCATTTCTTGAACCTCTCCTCCTGCTCGTCCATCCACTTAGGTTCGTAATACAGAGTGGCGCTCATGAACGGGTCGAAACCTTTGCCAGTTTCCGCGTAAAAGTACGGATTGCTGGACAAGAAAGCATCCGGATTATGCAACACGACCAGATCGCTCTCCACCAAATTCGTTTTGCTCTTGTTTATAAATTGCTTCAAGTTCAACGTCATATTCATCTTAGTCTTCTTCGTCGTTATGGACTTCCTGCCCCAGTCTTTGTTCTCCTCGCGCTGCAGCCTCTTCGGCGGAGATGCCATGTTCACGAAATGCGACTTGCGTTTTCTGATGTTGAACGATTTACTCGGCGTGAGGTTTTCGCAGGAGAACGATGACGATTCTTCTGCGATCATATCCAATTGCTTGGGTTTCTTTTGCGGTTCCGTCGCCCACATGTCGGCTTCAATTATGCTCTTCGCCGACGGCACCTCGGGTTTCTTCATCACCACAGGACTGCCGAGTGCACCCAAATCCCCGATGGAATCGTCTTTAATATACGTGCAGGTGCTCGTGTTCTTTACATAAGTCTCTCCGCTGAGGTTACCTTTAACGTAAGTCTCGAAACTGTTGTTGCCCTTCACATAAGTTTCCGTGCTCAAATTGACTGGTGAGACTTCCTTGTCTGCTGTTTCTAAATTGAAACTGCTTTGTGATTTTTCGTTTTCAAAGTTGAAGATATTCTGCGATTTCTCTCCGGTTGAGCAGATGCTCGGATTGAAGAGTGGATTATTGTCCGGCGTGAAGTTGATATCTTTCAATCTGCTGGTCAAACTGTGATTCACCAGAGGCGTGAAAGCCAGACTTTGCAAACGCTTGATTGGCGAGGGTTCTTCCAATTTCATCGGCGACTTAATCTCCAAACTGTCCTCAAACGTACAGCTCTCGTTCAGTTTCTTCTTGTTCGCCTTGTTCATCGTGTACGTATTATTACTAGGTTCTAAATTGAACAACGAACTCGCCGGTGAAGCGTACACGTTATCCTTTAACGTACTCGACAATGCCAAATTGAAATTCTCCTTATCGTCGACGTCGTAAGTCTGCCTTCTTAATGGTGAATCAATGGTAATAATTGGATTCAATTGTTTCGCTTTCATCGTTTTCTATACAACAAAAGTACATAAGTTACATCTTAATCACACTACAAATTAACACTTACTTTAGGACTTTTCCTTAATGGCACCGAAGCCTTATGTATCTTAAGTGCTGGCTTTATATTAACAATAGCTCTCTTCAGTGGTTTCTTTGTCACCTTTGGAGGTAGACTTTTAAATGTAATCGGGACATCCCTCTTGATCTTATAGCCATCCTCAAAAGTGATGTTATCTCTCCACGGACCCCCTTTCATTGAAATCCAATTAATTTCAAAAATTTCTTCAGAAGCAGCCTCTATCAACTTCTCACCCCAATTGAAACTAACCTGCCTCTCAGGAGGTGGAGCTTTTGTTATAATCAACTGCAGCAAATAAATGTAATTAATAACATATCAATATTTTTTTTATAATATATAAGTAAACATACTTCTATAGGATTTTTTGTTGGATTCTTTATGCACAGCAACCTCTTGGCCTCCTTTCCCACTGGAATATCTTCAAAGAAAATCTTCGGGTTGGCTGTGAAAGGTGCCAGAGACAAAACACTGATTTCCTCCGATTCATTTGGTGGTTTCACCATCGACTTTTTCCTAGGCTTAGCCTCTGGAGTCACATTAACCTAGGCAAAGAAACATTATTATAACATACTCTAACAATACAATAAGAGCAAACTGAAAACTTACTTGGAAAAACATGACTTCTCCCACAGCTTAATCACAACATGTAAGAAAACAACATTAACGTTTTCCGTTAAACTTCAAATTTTTTAAACATATGAAACTCGTAAACAGCGGTTTCACAGGACAACAAACCTGAAAAACACAAACATTACACAATAAACGGTTTCCAATTTGATTCACAGCAGTTGTAAAATATTTAAAAATGTTTCAAAATTAAATATTTTAATTATTTATAAATCGATCATTGTATTTCAATAATTGAGAATACTCACAATAATTAACTTATATTAAACAAAATTCACAAATAAATATTAATGAGAAAAAAATAAAACTAATGAAAAGCAACATTCCCAAATCCGTTAAATATCTAATATAGAAAAAAAACGATTCTAATTGAAAAAAGTAACTGGTAAATCTTCGAACAGAATTACCACAGTATCGCCAATCTTAAAAAAAATAAAAACTGTTGCTTACTACTGGATGAAATCTCTGCAAATGTTGTATAATCAATGAATAATGTTCATGTAATATTTTAAATAATAAATTGTTTAGTTGAAACGAGTAAAAATATGTTATGTTTACTCGTTTTAGAAGAAGAAATTTTTTGGAGGTAAATGTATTAAGTTGGTATGAACATTTCCTTGACGTTGTTTATACCGAAAGCGTGTTTGGTGCGTTTGTTTCAACTGCCAAAGATATTTTGAAGTGAAACCTTAGGTAAAAGTACCATCATTACCATGGCGACGTCTATGCCCATCAACCCGAAACCATTCCTGAACAGTCTGACTGGAAAACCTGTGATGGTGAAGCTCAAGTGGGGCCATGAATATAAAGGTTATCTTGTATCCGTTGATGGGTACATGAACCTGCAATTGGCCAACACCGAAGAGTTTATTGATGGAGCTGTCACCGGTAAGCAATACAAGTTTTATTCAATTCATATCAAAGCCTTGTCGTTTGAATTTCTTAATGAGATTAATGTATTTTGTTTTTTCTAGGTAATTTGGGAGAAGTTCTTGTTAGGTGTAATAATATACTGTATATCAGAGGAACTGACGAAGAAGACGAGGAAGGTGAAACACGAGACTAATCTAGCAATTAGTATTAGATTGTAATTACATTTCCTTTTGTATTTATAAAATAAGTAAATTTAAGTATAAAAAAAACAATAGTGGTTTTCTGTGTTACGCATCCGTTGATCCTGGTCAGTGTATGTGGTTGTATAACTCGACTTCAGTTTAAATTCCTTTTTTTTATATCCGAATTCGCAGATTAGTGTGAAGATTAATGGTGTTTATAAACTGGGTTTAGAGTTATAAATCTTAATGGGAAGTTGAGAATACCGAACGTTTAATGTATTTGTGTATGTTTAGTTGCATATATAATATAGTAAAAATAAATGTGATTTTCATGTGGATATTAAATAATTGGGGTTTGTATCTTGGAGTTGAGCTGCGCGCAATTCAAGTCCATTGGAAATTGATCACTTTTGATTAAAAAAATTATAATATAATAATAAGCTAATGTCATATAACCTTGTGTATGTGTGTTGTCATGTTTGCCACACAATTTGGTGTGAAGGTCCCTAAATATTCTGTGATCCAAATTCATAAACTGTGATGCCCGCAGGGATATTTCCATTCACATAAGACAGCAGCAAGCAAGCAAGCCCCCCCGCAGACAAATGCTGTATACATTGGATCCTCCGATGATCAGTGTATTAATAGCATCTTATGCAATATATAACTAAGGTGAGTGGCCTTTCTGCAGCAGCTCTAGTAGTAGTCTGGAATGGGGGCGCAGGCGATCTTCACGAAATCCTCGTAGCGCACCATGCTGTTGTTGTGCACGTTCGCCTCCCTGAAGATGCGATCAATCTCTTTGGTGGAGAGGCACTCGCCCCACGTCTGCAGCATGATCCTCAGCTGCTTAGCAGAAATAACCCCTTTGCCTTGCGGATCGGCCGCTTTGAACGCGTTCACCACCTCCCTGGGCAGATCCTCCGATCTGGAATGCACATGCATCACCTCCAGGAAGTCAGCGAAGGACATTTTGCCACCCTTCTGCTTCAGGTAGCCAGCCAGCTCGGAGATGGTTGGGGACAGTCCCAAGCTCCTCATTATAACAGTCAGCTCGTCCAGGGACTTGATCTGTCCGGAGCGCGCAAACAAGTAGAAACATTCCCTGAACTCTGCAAAAAAAAAACGTACAATGGTCATATCGAAAAAGCCTTATCTGTAGATTGCGAGATTATGTGGAATTCGCGATGTTGGCAGAGCGCGGTAATTACTCGCAGCTAATTGAAAATTAATTTGCGATCGGTGTAATTTTTTTTTTCATTTTCTGTTGCGTTGATGTTCGGTTCTATTCCGTTTTCGGCCAGCAACCAAGTTGTTGCTGCTGCTTCTTGTTAGCCAGTAAACGGCGTTGAGAGTTCAAGGGCGCTTTGTTGTTTGCTTACCGTCGATGTCCTGCTCCTTGAAATATCTGGCCTGCAATCAGTAATAGAAGGTAGTTAGTATTTTAGTCTACTTTATCCTCAAGTATAATTTCCTTACCATCTTCGCCTTTGTTTGTTCTTTTGCAACTCTACACGCACTCACTCGACTGCAGTCTACGTGTCACGGTTAGAGCGTTTCGACGAACCGATTGAACTTACTCGAGTACAGGTAACTCGGCACGGGCAAAAAGTAGGTGGATTTCCACCTGTTCGAACGCGCCTATCATTATCTATACGTAATCAATCCATCATATCAATTTCCTTTTTGTTTTGTTAATCATATAAAAAATACAATTAATATATAATAAGTTACTTCATTAAGAAACCTAATTCTATATTATTCTATGTAAAACTTTACGGTTTTCACAATCATTGCAAACTTTTGTAATCAATTAGTGTGTAATAATCTTCAAGATTTCCTTGTACTACATTCATGTTTAACAAATCTGTTTAAACAGTTTTGTTTTTGCGTGCAGAATTCTGTCGTGTTTTCGCCAGACGATGATGTCGTTCCTTTTTTTATAAATAGTTGCTATGTTTAGAATACACATATTTCTCTCTCTTCCGATTACTTGAACTATCGAAATTTGGATGCGCTCGTGGCAATGCCAGACAAACAACAACAACAACAACAAAACGTTGCGCAAACAGAATCGGTTTTCAAAATTAATGAAAATTACGAACAAGTTTTCCTTCAGTTGAATGTTATTGCCAGAAGATGATTGATTAAAAAAAAAATAGAAAATAACTTTTGATTTATCGAATATTTTGATGTGCTCGTGGCAACAACAAATCAAAATACATATATTTCCAACTAGATTGAAACGAAAGTAACAATTTTCATTCAGTTGAAGTTCTTTTTAATAACTTTCTTCTATTACATTGATTGATAATTGTTTAGCTTCAATAATACGATTTCTATAATAATGCATTTCTTTATAATGACGTGATTTTGTATAAGAATAAAGCGGTCTAAAGTCTAATGCGTTATTTACAGATGTGTCACTGATCTTATTTAGTCTTTAGTGCGAAAAATCAGCTAAATCAGCTATTGTCTTTACGTTGAAACTCAAATTAAACTTGTGTAATTTTAAGTTTTTTTCCCCAATTAATGTAATTGCGTTCATTTGGAAACAACGAACTTTTCGTTGTTTAAGTTTTAATCAGGTCTTGGAGAAAATTATATTATATATAAACAACAACAAAACGTTGCGCAAACAGAATCGGTTTTCAAAATTAACGAAAATTACAAATAAGTTTTCCTTTAGTTGAATGTTATCGCCAGAAGATGATTGATTAAAAAATATAGAAAATAACTTTTGATTTATCGAAAATTTTGATGTGTTCGTGGCAACAACAAATCAAAATACATATATTTCCAACTAGATTGAAACGAAAGTAACAATTTTCATTCAGTTGAAGTTCTTTTTAATAGCTTTCTTTTATTACATTGATTGATAATTTAGCTTCAATAATAATTCATTTCTTTATAATGACGCGGAATGATTTTCTATAAGAATAAAGCGGACTAAAGTCTAATGCGTTATTTACAGATGTGTCACTGATCTTATTTAGTCTTTAGTGCGAAAAATCAGCTATTGTCTTTACGTTTAAACTCAAATTAAACTTGTGTAATTTTAAGTTTTTTTCCCAATTAGTGTAATTGCGTTCATTTGGAAACAACGAACTTTTCGTTGTTTAAGTTTTAATCAGGTCTTGGAGAAAATTATATAATATATAAACAACAACAAAATTATATAATATATAAACAACAACAAAACGTTGCGCAAACATAATCGGTTTTCAAAATTAACGAAAATTACGAATAAGTTTTCCTTCAGTTGAATGTTATTGCCAGAAGATGATTGATTAAAAAAAATAGAAAATAACTTTTGATTTATCGAAAATTTTGATGTGCTCGTGGCAACAACAAATCAAAATACATATATTTTCTATTAGATTGAAACGAAAGTAACAATTTTCATTCAGTTGAAGTTCTTTTTAATTACTTTCTTCTATTACATTGATTGATAATTGTTTAGCTTCAATAATACGATTTCTATAATAATGCATTTCTTTATAATGACGTGGAGTGATTTTGTATAAGAATAAAGCGGTCTAAAGTCTAATGCGTTATTTAAAGATGTGTCACTGATCTTATTTAGTCTTTAGTGCGAAAAATCAGCTAAATCAGCTATTGTCTTTACGTTGAAACTCAAATTAAACTTGTGTAATTTTAAGATTTTTTCCCAATTAGTGTAATTGCGTTCATTTGGAAACAACGAACTTTTCGTTGTTTAAGTTTTAATCAGGTCTTGGAGAAAATTATATAATATATAAACAACAACAAAACGTTGCGCAAACAGAATCGGTTTTCAAAATTAACGAAAATTACGAATAAGTTTTCCTTCAGTTGAATGTTATCGCCAGAAGATGATTGATTAAAAAATATAGAAAATAACTTTTGATTTATCGAAAATTTTGATGTGCTCGTGGCAACAACAAATCATATATTTTCTACTAGATTGAAACGAAAGTAACAATTTTCATTCAGTTGAAGTTCTTTTTAATAACATTGATTGATAATTGTTTAGCTTCAATAATACGATTTCTATAATAATGCATTTCTTTATAATGACGTGATTTTGTATAAGAATAAAGCGGTCTAAAGTCTAATGCGTTACTTACAGATGTGTCACTGATCTTATTTAGTCTTTAGTGCGAAAAATCAGCTATTGTCTTTACGTTGAAACTCAAATTAAACTTGTGTAATTTTAAGTTTTTTTTTCCAATTAGTGTAATTGCGTTCATTTGGAAACAACGAACTTTTCGTTGTTTAAGTTTTAATCAGGTCTTGGAGAAAATTATATAAGTGTATTAAAAAAAAAAAGTTGGTTGATTCTATTTTTGAAAAAAAAAAATTGCTTATCATAAGTTTTTTAAGGACGAGATAAACTTTTGATAATAAGCGCTTATGGAAATAACATATTTTTTTTTAGTTTCAGTTTAAATAGCAATTAGGTTGAGAAAACTGTTAGGATTTGTAAACTTTGTTGTTATTTTGTGTTCTTGTAAATGTTCAAGGTCGAGGACTAAATAACGAGTTCTCTTAATGCGTCTTACCTGTTTGGAAATGAAAGAAATGCGCGTGTGGACAAATAGACGGGAGCAAGAAAGGTCTCTGTTTCTCTCTCTGAAAAGACTAACATACTAAATATAGATTTGGTCGTCCGACGTGATCAGGAAAGAGTAGGTCATAAGATTATTTGATGTTCTTTATTAGCATCGAAGAGGTGTTAATTTCAAATCAGTAAACATTTGCAAAGCCTTTAAGAATCTGTTGCGATTTGGAAATTCGATATCTCTGAACTTCAGTATTTTCTTTTCCATTTAAGTATAATTATTTTTGAGTCATCGTCGTTTTATCGTTTTTGGTTTGAAATATTGTTATCGAGGCTCCGATTAGATTCTTTTAAAACGTCGCGCTTTAAAGTTCGGCGTCCCTGGACGTCAGTTAATTTAAGTGTCTGTAGAGTTATGCAAGACGGCGAAAGCGGCTTCGATTGGAGTCACATAACTTGCGCTCAGACTTATTAAATCGTAGGTGTGCGTGTGATTTGCTTTGGCGAAACGTGCTTCTCGTATAAACACAACAATAACAAGGAGTGTAAACTTGAAAAAAGGATTGTGAAGAAATAGCGAGAAGAGCGAAGGAGATCCGCGGAGATGAGTTAATAAACATTTCATTGAGATACGTTATCAGTAAGTAAAATAAACAACTTGCTTACACACACGTACGTACGTAACTCTGAGGAGGAAGGCACGATGCGAAAAACGTTCTTTGGACTTTACTCGGCGCTCAACTTTCGCGGGATCATTACTGTTAATGAGGAGACACCTCTCGCGCGCTTGATTTTACTTCTGCTGCTGCTGCTGTTAATTCTTCTGTTGTTGTTGTTGCTTTTACAATTGTTTGATTGCAGTGCCTGTGGAACAATGAGGTGATATGTAAAGTCTTCCAAGATGGTAGCTTCCGAGAAGAACTGCCTAGAATCTCGAAAAAAATTCGTTCAATTGAGCAACGCAGACATTGTGGTCACCAGTCTGTGCGCGGGGGCCATTGCGGGGGCCCTCGCCAAATCGACGATAGCCCCATTGGACCGCACCAAGATTAATTTTCAAATCAGGTAAAGTAAGTATTAGTTTTTTTTTTTTGTTGTTTTTTTCTTTTATATCCAATCCTTCTCAGATTCATCCTCTCTCTATGATGCATCAGTATTTCATTTGCTCTGTTTTTGTTTCTATTTGTTTTGTTCACCAACTGCAGTCCCAAGCCGTACTCCACGAAGAGGGCCCTAAAATTCCTGATAAACACCTACAAAAGTGAGGGGGTGTTCGCACTGTGGAGGGGAAACAGTGCCACAATGGCAAGGATTGTGCCGCATGCAGCCATCCAGTTCACAGCACACGAACAGTGGAAGAGGATTCTGCAGATTGATTGCAGCACGTGAGTGCTTGTCTTAATTAGTAATTTATTATCAGTGTGATTTACAACTGTCCCACTTTTGCTTTAATTCCAATACGAACTAATATTTGAGTTCATGATCAAATCAAATAATTATTATTATGAGCAACGTTGCGTTTCTCTTGGAAATCAATCAATCAAGTTTTTATAAAAAAAAAATTATGTAATACATGCAACCAAACGTACACTGATTAACGTGCATGTTAAGTTGCATACACCAAACATCCATATTTGAAAACTTTTTTTTACTAATTACTAAATACTAATTAAAAACGTAATCAAGTTGTTACTAATCGAATCAAATGTGCTAATTGTTGATGTTACATCAAAGAAATTGAATTATTTGCTTAGATACTTAAGAAAATAACTAATTAAATTTTGATTAATAAAATGATAATTGTTTCAGAAATTCACCGGCCAGACAACTTTTGGCCGGTTCTTTGGCTGGAATAACATCTCAATCCTTGACTTATCCCCTGGACTTGGCGAGAGCGCGGATGGCCGTCACGCACAAAACCGAATACGCCACATTGAGACAAGTAAAGTGGATCAATCAATCGATATCAATGGAAATGATTGTAATTCTTCAATTTTCACAGGTTTTCGTTAAAATTTACTACGAGGAGGGCTGCTGCTCGTTCTACCGAGGCTACGTCCCGACCATGCTCGGGGTCATCCCTTACGCTGGCGTTTCCTTTTTTACCTACGACACTTTGAAACGTTTATATAGAGGTAATGGTTATTTATTTTGTTTTTTTGTGACTGATTTATGTTTTCTTTATTGACGGCACAACAAAACGAAACGAAACGAAAGTTTCTCATTTCGTTACATACGCATTTCATTCGACAGTTTTATTGCAAATATTGTGCGCGCGTGTAACTTTTTGTCACCAGTTTTCTCTTTTTGTTGTTGCAGAAAATATAGAAAATACTGAGAAAATCAATACGTTTGCTTCTTTGGCTTTCGGCGCCGTGGCCGGAATGCTGGGACAATCGAGTAGTTATCCATTAGATATTGTTAGGAGGCGAATGCAGACGGACGCCGAGGGGAAATACACGACAATAATGAAGACTCTGCGTTTAATTTACGTGTAAGTCTATTCATTAATTCATTCATTATTGAGCACTTGCTCATTTGCATCAAGTAAATTGATTTCTATGTTTTGTTGCAGCAATGAGGGTATCATCTGCGGTTTCTACAAAGGTCTTTCGATGAACTGGATCAAAGGGCCGATAGCCGTGGGCATAAGTTTCGCGACCTACGACCACATTAAAGACTCACTCCGTACACTATTAACCACATACAAATACACTAATAAGCTTTAATAAGATCGATCCCTTGTTGTTCTTTCTTCTTAATCTTTATTCATTTTAATTTGTGATTTATCAAGAAGTCTCCGCAGATTCTCAACTGTTTCGACTTGGGGGAGAGAAGATGTTCGGGGATTCGGAAAACGAAAAATGCCTTTGATTTGTTTCTCTCTTTTTTATATATTCACGTGTGTCTGTGAATACGATTATCAAATAAATTAGCCCAAAAGGGAAGAACATTTTTTTGTATCAGTTAAATGCGTGCAATCGCATTGAAAAAGGACGAAACAGATACTATTGTATCGCGATTTCTTCGCCTCTTTGTTACGTCGATTCACAATTTTTTTTTATATATATATTTTCGCGACAAAAACTAAAAAAAATTTAGAGATATTTATTGTTATACATATATATATACTATTATATTATATACTATGAACTATATGGATTGTTGACAATTTTTTTTTTAATTTTCAAATAAATTTATTACTGAAATTAATCATCTTTCATTTGGAATACCTCAAGGTAATGTACTTGTTCCTCTAGAACTCTTAGCGCAGCCAACTTGAAATGAATTTGATTTGAAATCACCGCTTTACAGCAAAATTCAATAAGAAAAACATGTATTATTTAATTTCGAATTTTCCATTGCTTGTTTTTACACAAATTACCAAGTATTTTTTAATTACTGTTTGTAATTATCGTCGGCAGTTAAATATAATTTAATTAATGTTTAATTTTGTTAAATTTTCTGATGACTTTTTAATGAATTCTTAATAATAAACTTTGTTTCATTGCTATCAACAACTGAATGTGTAAGATTTTAGATTTGCAAACATTTGCTGTATCAGCGTTGAATAAAATTTGATATTTTATCACTGACTCGTGGAAAGAGTCTTGAAGGAATGTTATTAACACTCATGCATGCATACAGAAACGAAAACTACTTTGCTCGCATCGGGGAGTCCTCTTGGCTCAGAGGGAAAAGAAGGGAAGGAACGAGGAACGGTATTAATTCTTATTTACGTTCGGAAAAATGTCAACAGAATTAGAATCAAGATTAGATTCCGGGAATCAGAAGCGGCGTAACTCGATGCATGTTGTCGCCGTCAGCCGAAATGAGACCTGAAGAAGAAAACCGAGGACGGAATAATTGTAATAATAATAATAAGTAATAACGTAGGGAAATGTAAACATGGCATTTATACAAGATGTGCTTCTTTTTTCCCTCCGCAATTTCATTTTTGTCGCTGCCGTTTCCAGGAAGAAAGTGACTCGCGCCCGCACTCTCCAAACCCTCCCGAGGTGGGTGAGTGGTTGTGGATGCTCTCCAGCCCCCTTAGGCGGTCAAACACATAAATCTAACTGCCTGTACCGTTATATCACGCAGCCCCTCGCCAAAGAATGGAGCAAGCAAGTGTCTCGAAAAGAAAGCGTAAAATCGCATCCTTCTCTACAATAGTTTTACGACCCTCGTACCCTTTTCCAAACTTTACGATTCCAGAACTAATCCTCTTGCAAAAATAACAATTACAATATGCACAGAGATTTCGTTTGCGAAAAGGTTTTTTTTTTCCCTTCTTCTTTACAAAATATTTTTTAAATCTGCTTTAAGGTTTCTTTATGATCCTGTCGTAAAGAATCCTTAATATTTCAAACACATTTATTATAACTGATTTAAATAACCGTGACGACTTTCTCCATTAATTTGCATGAACAAACTTGTAAATTAGTAATACTATATTTATTTTACATAAATTACCAGATTCTAATTACTTCTCAATCAATTTATAGAAAATTGTATTTATTGTAAATTGTAAGATAAATTGAAACGTTCATTCGTATTTAACGTAATTATATAAATATTATGACTTTTTTTTTGACGACTATTTTGAATAGAAAAGCATTATTAACTGTAAGGTGACCATAGCAAATCCCATTCAATCAAACGAACCATAGCAACCTGAAAACGTGTTTAACAACTGTAACTGTATCCATGACAACATAATATGATTATGGCAACTTTCAGAAGTCTGTAACAAACGTCAAATCGTCCTTAGCGATTGCAAATTTATTCGAAACAACGTAAATTTAACTAATTAATAGAACATTTTAAAACATTGCTTTTGTATGTAATTGTATAATTATAATTTGAGCAACAATTTTCGAAAATAAAAAGATGTATTGACAACTGCCATTTTTCAACCATAACAAAAGGTATGTAACAAGTTTAACAGTGTACATGACAACCGTAAGGTTTCCATAGTAATACGATTATGGCGTCTGTTACAACTGTGAAATTATCCTTAGCGAATTTAACTAATTAATAGAAAATTTTAAAATAATGCTTTTGCATGTAATTGTATAATTATAATTATAAATATTATGTTTTTTTTTTAGCAACAATTTTCAAAAACATTATATAAACAGATTGACAACTGCCATTCTTCAACCATAACGAAAGGTTTTAGTAACTGGAAAATGTCTGTAACAATTTTAACAGTGTCCATGACAACCGTAAAGTTTCCATAGCAATACGATTATGGCGTCGGTGACGACTTTAAAAAGTCTATGACAACTGGCAAATTGTCCTTAGCGATTGCAAATTTATTCGAAACAACGTAACTTTAACTAATTAATAGAACATTTTAAAATAATGCTTTTGCATGTAATTATAAATATTATGTTTCTTTTGAGCAACAATTTTCAAAAACATTATATAAACAGATTGACAACTGGCATTCTTCAACCATAACAAAAGGTTTTAGTAACTGAAAAGTGTCTGTAACAATTTTAACAGTGTCCATGACAACCGTAAAGTTTCCATGGCAATACGATTATGACGACTTTAAGAAGTCTGTGACAACTGACAAATCGTCCTTAGCGATTGCAAATTCATCCGAAACAACGTAATCTATTTCGAATCAATTAAATTTAACTGATTAATAGAACATTTTAAAAACATTGCTTTTGTATGTAATTGTATAATTATAATTTGAGCAACAATTTTCAAAAATATTGTATAAAGAGATGTATTGACAACTGCCATTTTTCAACCATAACAAAAGGTATGTAACAAGTTTAACAGTGTACATGACAACCATAAGGTTTCCATAGTAATACGATTATGGCGTCTGTTAAAACTGTGAAATTATCCTTAGCGATTGCAAATTTATTAATAGAAAATTTTAAAATAATGCTTTTGCATGTAATTGTATAATTATAAATATTATGTTTCTTTTGAGCAACTATTTTCAAAAACCTTATATAAACAGATTGACAACTGCCATTCTTCAACCATAACGAAAGGTTTTAGTAACTGGAAAATATCTGTAACAATTTTAACAGTGTCCATGACAACCGTAACGTTTCCATAGTAATACGATTATGTTTTAAGAAGTCTGTGACAACTGTCAAAAAGGCCTTCAATCTGGCTACAATCTTAAATCTTACTATACAACCAAATAGTTAATTTACTAATTAATATAAACATAAATAAATGTGTGTTGTTTTCTGCATTTTTCTTCAGGTCATCAATACACACTTTGAACTTCTTGGAAATTGTTAAAATAAAGTTATGATTACCTTTTAATAATAACAAACAACAACAACAACCGGAGGAGTTTATTTTCATCATTATTTGGATATTAGAAAATTGAATTTTAATCTCTCATGTTTACATCCAATTTCATTCTCAAACTAAATTAGATGAAATTCTTATCTAATTTGTGTGTAATGCAAATTGCGGTCACTCCACGTATTTCAGTAGGAGGAGAAGAAATAATAAGTAATTCCATATGAGTAAACTGTGAATATAAGTAAACAAAACAAAATTTGACACGAAGATTGAGCGTTTCCTTCCGGCAAACAAAAAAAAAGATGTTGTATAATTCAACGTTTCTTCCCTCCTCTCGTTATTTATCTATTTTTTTCTTCTTTGGGTTTCTTTTGGGTGAAAAGGACGGAAAAGGTCCTCCCTTTTAACATAAATTAGTGAGTGTATTAATTTAAAAAAAAAACCTTTTCAGCTGTGTAGTTTCCATATTTGCTAAGATATTTCTTAGATAAAATAGTACATTATATATTACTAATAATTAAATTTTTGTGTTAATTGTCTGCATAATAAGGTTTCATTCTTATCTCTGAAGATGGGATGAAGAGGGTATTGTGAAAACGATACTGGTAATCTTTCGTTAAAGTCAGAGGTCAGAGACATTCCCCTTTATGTATTTATATAATAAGACAATATTAATTATAGCGAGATTCTAAATTTCATTGCACTGTTATTATTAGACGTTCAGATAAATCTCAATTAGTTAAATTGAAATAGGAAGCGAGAAAAACAATGTGAATGAATAAATGCGTGTTTTTTTGTGTACTTTACACGCTGGACAAGCAATTTTAGCATAAACTCTAATTCCGTATAATTGAATTCGCACTCTAATTAATTAAATTGTCTCGTTGCGTTCGCTTACTCACTGCTTATTTCATTTATATAATGTCCTTAGAAGGACCCATAATTCCTGCCACCAAAAAGGAATGTGGCTTCGGCAATAAATGGAAAGAAAAATGGTTAGTTAACTGCTCCTTCTCTCCTTCACGCACAGAACGTATCTCGAAGGGTGCAATAAAAGAAAAGCTATGGGGAAAAGCGAGTGCAGCTCAAAGAGATGCCGATCCCCTCGAAAACCTGCACGAGATGATAAAAGATTAAGCTGTATGCATATACTTGCTTACCTGACTTTATATTTAAAAAGGGTGAGAGTGAGAGAGAGTGAGAGAGAGAAAAAGGGGACGACGACTCGGATTATGTAAATGCAAACGGAATTATATTATCACGCTTTTCTAACAAAAAAAAAACACATTGAACAAAACAAAATAAACCAAATCAATAACGCTATTTCACGGAAACACAAATCTCTTCACAAAATGAGTGTTAAAATGATGGATTTGACCTGGTCACATATTAATTTCGATATCTAAAATTAGCAATTTGAAATTTGTTGTTTTTTTTTTAAATGATTGTATGAAAATGTCTAATTATGTTTTTTTTTATTGTTGCAATAAAGATTATTGTTTTCTTATTTCATTAATTCAATTGTTTTCCCCATGATTTCCAAATGACAATTCATTCTATGTATTACAGTTTTCTAGAAAATCAATGAAATGTGAAAACACTGCTTATTCGAGCATTTTTTCAATTTTGAACGCGTATTACAGCAATATGGATAAGAGCACAGGAATGTATCTATACTTGCTGGATTCCCCAAACATTCAGCTTTCATATGCATCTTTTGTATTCATTCTATGTATTATAAGTTTCGAGTAAATCAATGAAGTGTAAAAACACTGCTTTTTCGAGCATTTTTTCAAATTTGAACTCGAATTACAGCCAAACGGTTAAAACCATAGTAATATATCAATACATGCTAGATTCCCCAAACATTCAGCTTTCATATGAATCGTTTGGATTCATTCTATCTATTATAGTTTTCGAGAAAATCAATGAAATGTAAAAACACTCCTTTTTCGAATTTCAATTGTTTAACGCGTAACTTTTAACTATTACAATGTAAAAACACTGCTTTTTCGAACGTTCTAATTTCATTAATTCAATTGTTTTCCACATGATTTCCAAATGACAATAAATGCTTAAGTGTCCCTTGATATTTACATTGTTTCTTTATATGTTTCATATTTTTCATTTGTTTTTTTTAAGACATACCAGTTAACTTTAATTTAACTTAAAACATGTGTCAATTCGCTTTTATACCTAAAACTCTTCAATAATAAAAAAACTGGCAATAATAAACATTTAACAAAATTGTGATTGTGATTACTTGAAGATTTATTTATGATGATTACGCGATTATTTACTTTACTCTACATTTTACACATAATAAGTTCTAAATTCTGTAAAACAATTGAATTCTTAACGTATGAATCACAGAAATGTTTTTTTTTTGTTGTTGTTGTAATCTTTCAATGCGTTTTATTGAAATTCAAATATTGATTCAACGAAATGCAACGTTTATAATCCCAAAATTCAACATAAATTAATGAGATAATCATTGCAAATTATAACAAATTTCATATAACTTATATTGACGAGAGGGTCTATATCGCAAGCCCGACAACCGAAAGACCGTCTATTGAAATCCCGACTATGTCAAAATCCCGACAATATCGAAATCCCGACTACCATAATCCCGACAATCAAAATCCCGACTACCCGAGAATATATGAATTTCCATATTAAATCAATGTCTTTGTAAATGGTGCACTTGATCTTCGAAACTTTGTATTTTATTCATTTTTCAGTTTACAAAGTCTAAAAGAATAAGTGTTTCAGTTTTAATAAACCGACTTTAACTTGTCAAATGTAAAGTTGACTTGATGATTGTTAATGTCTGTTTTTTTTTAAATATTTATAAGGCGCCAATTACAGTTCAGTTCGTTTCTTGAATATTGGCGGGTTCTTTTTCAATTTGGAGGGATTACGATAGATGGCTGCCTGTTCTTCGTCAATACTATAAGTTAATCTGTTCATTTAACTAAAAGATGTATTGTTTTACTATAGTTGATTGTGATTGTTTGAGATTGGGAAAGTTAATGATTAATTTAAGTAATTAATTGAAGGATTAGGTATATGGATTTGTATATGGATAGTAGGCAGGTACAAGATGATGTCCAGAGATGTCTCTGTGCAAGTCGTAGACCAGTGCCGAACTAATCACGTGACGTCGTAAGAGACACTGATTTATAAATGGCCACTTGGTAGTTTCTGGGTTCTGTCTGCGGTACGATTCCTCAGCAGTCACTCGGACCCTGGAGCTCAGCCAGGGTATAACGCGTTCATCTGTCTCAAATTGCAAAAAGCGGAAACGAATAGCAGAGCTGCTCTAGAAGCGGAAGTGCATCGTTCGTTTATCTTTTTGTTGTTTTGTTTTTCTTTTACGTTACGTTTTGTTTACTTCCGGTGTTTGTGTGCAAAAGAAACGTGATAGGATTTTTTTTGCTTGTTGATTAATGTGCAGAATACGCAGTGAGCGTTGAGTGTGTCCCGTGAAAAGAAAAAATAAATAAAAAAAAAAGAGATTACGGAGAAGAAGTCGAAGAAGTCGCAGTTAAATATATACAGAGTGGAGGTGAGTAGTAGTAGTAATAGTAGTAGGTAGTCATTAGATCTCTTGTTTAACAGCAGTATTTTTACCCTGCATTATGTTGTACCCATATTTCGCACGTTGCCGCTGTTGCCATCTCCGAACGTCGTCCACTACCTGCACTAACTCCTCTATATCCTTAATACACCTAGCTTGCATCGGGGGCAGGTATTCCTAGATCACGTCTGAAAGGGTGGAAAAGCCGTCGTCGTTCCTCGCATCTCGGATAAGATTACATTCTTGGTGAGGTTGATAACGGCGGAGAGGAGCCTGGGAAAAAAACCGCGAATCCGAGATTACTTGGCAACGCTTCTAAAATTAAAAGCGTCCAATCCGAAACACCGACGACGAAGAAAAAAAAAATATGTGCAAGAAAGAATGGCGAGAGGAAGAGAACGCACGTTTTAACATTTAACAATGATCCTTCCTGCGACGCGAACAATTAATTCCAGAGGGTTTTGAGCAATTGATGTTGCAGGTTGACTGGGGTGAAGCAAAGCGTGCAAGGTGGATAGGGAAACCCCATTCCACCTTGCACTGTTTTGTGCTTTTGAAGGGTTGATGCCGTATCGGATTTCAAAACACTTCACACTACTCCCATTATACTCACCCTCATCTTACGCAATTGTATCATCATCATCTCGTCTACTAATTAAACCGAGTAATTCTGAGGTGTTGCTCGATCCGGAAAAATCTAGAACAAGATCTATTTTCACACCGTCGTCTCGTCTCTTTTTTTTTCATATGTAATCATAATCGGAGATGATGATTGGATTTCCGGAAAATTCCACCCACCGCATACATTTTCCGGAAACGAATTTGCATAAATATTGAATATGCAATTAATTATCCATCGATTCCGTTTGATCTCGAATTATACAATTCCAATCCAATTTCGCGTAACATTCCTGTATCATTACGATCACAATGCAAAGCGAACATAATGATAATTCCGTCGCAAATCTACAACAAACAAAACAAAAAAAGTTCAAATTATATAAACTACTTAGTAGGCTATGCATCTATTGTATTTATCTCCGCGTAACCCACATAATCTGCAAAGTAGGCTTTATTTCCATACTACGTAACACAACCTTTGGGAATTAACTGTTGCGTTATATATGAAAAAATAAAATAAATATATTCTGCACGCTGCGTGACTCATGTTCGAAGAGATAATGTGGAAAAAATTGTTTTACCCACATAAACACACACAAATTACGATAACATTTTTTTTTTAATAACCGGTCATTAATTTTTTCTAAATAAACACTTCTAATTTTCAATTGGAATTCGTTCAATTTTGCAATTTGCGAATGCACGAATTCGATTGCAGCAAACGACAATGAGTAATCTTGACTTTGGAAACCTACCAAACAAAAAAAAAAGTTTCATTCTTGGTTCCCGCGTAACTTTTAAACTTAATTATAAATTAATGAGACTTAACGTAGTGATGTTCACTTAAGTATGCAAGTTTGCTTTAAATTAAGCACCGAAAATCTTATCTTTACGATGTTTAATGCAGCATTCGTTTAATTAGTTTTGAGCATTAATAATTTCAGGTTTTCTTATTTACTAAATTCTGTTAATGCTTCGAAACTAAGTGTAGATTATCGTGAAACGCATTAAATTAAATTATCGAATCCGAACTCGATAATCGCAGCTGAAACGAAACGTGATTGTTCGCATGTTCGTATAAAGAGAGTTTAACGAACGGTTTAAAGTCCGATTAATTGGTTTGTTAAAAGTCGTAATCGTACAGAGAATTTCCGTGGAAATTCGCAGCAGATAAGTCATTGTTTATGATGATTAAATCGTGGGGAATATCACGGCACGACCGTCTGCTGGTCATACGTTCTTGACCTACAGCAACGGCCGACGACGCTTCATCCAGATTGCTTCAAGTGTGACGGACGCATCCTTGATTAATGGACATACTCTTGGATGTAACACAAATCTAACCTTTCCCAATTGAAAGATCAATTAGAAAAGATCACTTGGTAATTCCAAAAGATGACTTATTTTCAGTTTTCGTCTACTAGAAACAAAGCAATATTATCAATTTTCAACAACAACAAATCGATTTGTGCCTAATCATCTTTTGAACTATTTAGCAAGTAAAGGTGTTACAGTTGTATGTGCTAACTTTTTCTATATATATATAGAAAAAAAAGTTGTTAGTGTGAATTATGCATATTAGTGTTAATAAACGGAGATAGCGCCATAAAATGTTTTTAATTGTTAATTACGGCCGGTGGAGATGCGAGATGGCGAAACCGAAACTCCGAAGTGATTACTCACGGCCATTAAATAATCATTTCCATTTGCGAATTAATTAAAAACGTAAAAAAAATGTTGGAAAAAGCTAATTGATCTTTCAAGCGTCAAACTAAACTCATTTCAAACGTCGACGATTTAACAAACCGTTAAATGTTATCACTGCCAGTATCTGTTTAACGAATGTCTTCTTCATATGATAATCTGAGCTTATTGTGAAAAATAAAACTGTTAAACGTGGAGTGATAATGTTTATTTGCATCTCTGCTCGCACAGAACAAATGTTTATTTACTTATATGCTCAAGACTGTCAATTTGAAATGTCTAAAAAGGATACTTCTTCGTAAAACCGAAACGTTATGTTATTTCTGTTCCTGCTTGTTCCATCAAAACTTCCAGTCGTAAATCCTCACCAAAGTTTTGATTGAAAACAAGCACACCGCGCTCAGAAGCAGGCAAAATGCCAAATACACCGGAGCGATGATTAGCATTGTGTTTGCGTTCTCTCCTCCTCTCTGTGAGCTCGTTTTTTTCTTACAACTTCATTCAAATCGCGAGCGATTTCAGCTTCCAGCACAAACATTCGGTTTACGTCTCTGTCAATATAATTTCCTGCAACTACTAGATAATCTCGTATTTGTTTTACCCATTAATTCGCGCACTTAATCTCACTACTATTTACAACTACCTCAATAGTAGTAAAAATCGTATCAACTCTATTTAGTTAGTGTTAATGATTAAGAAAAATCAATATTTTGTTGTTGTTAGTAATCAATTAATGAATATACGTTTACTATTTTGGAAAATATACAAATACTATTAATGCAATTATAATTGTGCTTGTAAACAATTTAATTGCGTTAGAAATTGTGAAAATAGCAATGAAACGAAAAATAAGTAGGTTTGTTTTCATGTTTGCTCGAATCGGTCGAGTTAGTTAATCAGTGCAAATTGCGTCGCGAATAATCTGAACTTAAGCCGCATTCTGAAATTAGTTTTAATTAAATTAAAAGTAATTAAAATCGCGCAATTGAATTATGTTTTAATCAACGTGTAATTGCGTAATTGCTAATGTCACAAGTAATATTTTTTTAAAGCAAGTAAATTAGATGAATAAGTGTTTGAGAATGCAATAAAAATGCAAATAATTTTATATATTTAAATGTTACGTTCCTTTTCAATTACTTTACTTACTAAGTAATCAAATATATATATTGATGCCGTTTATCTAAAAAGTATTTCCTATATTTATGAGTTTTATATGACTCAAAGCGATTGCGTTAAGTAAATTGGATTTAAAAAAAAAACGTACACAGGATGAATCAAATAATAATAATTCGATGAGTAAACTTATTATTAGATTGACGTTTGTTGCAGTGATCTTGTAAAAAGGGGAGAAAAGCGAGCGAGCTGAACCGAAAATCGCGTTTTAATGGGATCGCCCGAAGATTGAAAAAAACTCGTTTCAAGGACTCGTTAATGTGAATCAATCGAAAAGCGGTCGTTACCTAAGAGAAAATGAGCGGGAAAAAGGCTTTCAGTAAAATCGTTTAACGAGATCCATCCGTTGAATACGCTGTCTGTGCGTGTACAAATTACAATTGTTTTATTTACTTCTATATTTAATAGAGGAATACGTTTACTATTATTTCAACTTATCAAGTAATTGGATATAAATACCAAGTGATATTGATATGAAATCAACAGGGAAAAACCGAAACAATGTGCAAATACACGTTTTTTAAATTTATTTATAACTCTTGCATTGACCGAGCAATGAAATGTATCGTTACGCAATGTCAACTCTGATTATTATGAAAATTGACGTAAAAATTGTTATTTATCGCGGACGAGTTTCGAATGGCAGCGAGAGAGGCTGAGTCACAGCTTCTCGAATGGTGTGAAAATTACGTTCGAACGAATTTAATTGGTTCAAAACTAAATACATACACACACACACTCGAAACAAAATAAAACAAGAGCGCGGAATTGTAATCTTCCGCCACGGCTAGATAAGATAAATATGATCGAGCGTTATTATAACGGGTTTAATGTAATTATATAAACAAAAGGTATTTATTTTTCTTGTCGCATCTTTATCGTCGCGAATTATGATTGTCGTTTCACAATTATTGCAAATGCATTGATTGTTATTAGTTTGTTGTATGAGTGAATTTTACGATAATGATTAGCTTGTTGATGCTACTTTTTTTTTGATCAAGTAGCAAATGAATGTTTTATATGTGAATGAGTGTATAAGAAGTTGATAAGTGCGAAAAAGTAAATAAAGCGGAAACGGGATGTGGCGGTTGGATTTTCGAAATGAATTGGGTTAAAATGAATTCTCATTAAGGCGATAACGTCGGTATTATCCTCGGTAAATATTTCGTAATCTAGGAAAGTACGCGAAAATCAGGCTTCGAGCTAATTGAAATAAGAGTATCGCTCGTTTTCGGGCCGCTTTCAATTTTTTTTTTATATATTTACGTTTTATATCTGCGCGCCCGTCGTAATGTTTATAATATGTACAATAAATATTCAAACGATAGTTCCAGCTTTCGCTTCAGACCTTCTCCTCCCCACCCACACCCTTTTGAACCTACTACCTGCCCCCCCAAAACCCTCTCGAACCTAAAACCCCTCCCCCACCCTTGCATCTCTTCTGATACCAGATTAGAAAGGTTTACGTTTTTACTTCTCGCCAATTCTGCTGTTTGTGTAATATACAACACTTGGTCTCCGACATTGGAGTGAGAAGCAGTTGTCGGTTGGCGCGACGCGACACACGTCCAGCGTGTATTATTCAGTGCGACCTTGGTTGCTAAATGCACATTTTCTGTTTGTAGTACATGTGGAATATAGTTAGTAACCAGCAGCGTGCGCTGTTTTGTTTGTAACTTATTGTTTTGTCGCTGCTATATCGATTTCGGATTCGTGCTCATCGCTGCTGCTGTTATTATTATTATTTATTTGTTTTTTTTTTGTTGTTGTTTTGCGTGCGTGAAGGCATCACGAGAATCCGGGATGTCTCTGTGGGCAAAAGCGCAGCAGCTGCCGGAGGAAAAGTTGCACCAGATAAGGAACATCTATGGAGAACACTTCCCAATTGAGGTTCGCCACTATATGGCCCCCTGGATCGAGGAGAAAATATGGTACGTCTTCTTACTATTTCGCTCGTACCTGCATATTGATGAATCCGAATACTTCCATACAGGTCTGAGGAATGTACGTCAGATAACCCACAGTTTGAGCAGTACGTCTCCGGTTTGATGGCTACCTTCATCCAGGAGATCGAGAACAAAGCAGCTGTAGTTAACGACACTGAATTCTTCCTCGTCAAATTGAAGTTGGCCGAAGCAGCGAAGATGTTCAGGCAAAACTACGGGTAAGAAATACAGAAATTAAACATTATCAAAGCTCTATATGTAAACAAACCTAAATCAATCTGTGACAAAAATGTAATTTTCAACTTTGTATTTGCAGGCAAAATCCGGGTCGTTTGTATAGTTACATCAAGCAGTGTTTGGCCACGGAAGTGAGGATCATTCAATCAGCACTCGGAAGCGAAGCTTTGGGAATGTCAAATATAGCTTCAGCTAACAGTTCGGGCGTAGACGTTATGCATAAAGTGGATGTATTGAGGCGACGAACTCAGGTAAATTAAATTGTTCACGGAATCGTTAGATCGGTGTGTATTTATTACCGTGTGTTTATTTTTCAGGAAACGTCCGAAGATTTACGTAGACTGGAGCAGGATCAGGAAGCATTCGCGATACAGTATCACGAATGCACTAAGATGAATGGTACGTCTTAATATTAATTACATTGAATTGGTGTTTTTCATGTAGTGTTTTTTTTTTGCAGCTCACATCCAGCAGCTCTCGAATACGCCTTCTAATCAACAATCACCAGGCACTCTTCAAAAAATGACGGATCAAAAGAAATACATGGAGCAGGTGTTAAATCAGAAAGTAATGTTGCACATTTATTTGTGCTTTGGATTTTATTAATTTTTTTGAATATTTTGTAGGTCGCTCACCTTATCCAAGGCAGAATGGCGTTGAGTGATAAGCTGAAGGAGTCCTTTCAGTTGTTGAACGCTCTGCAATCGCGAGTGTTAGACGAAGAGTTGATCTTTTGGAAGCGCGAACAGCAGTTATCCGGAAACGGTAACAGCTTCAATAGCAACCTGGACGCCATACAGGAGTGGTGCGAGAACCTCGCAGAATTAATATGGATGAACAGACAACAGATCAAGGAGGTGGAAAGATTGAGACAGAAGCTAACACTCGATCCGCCGGGCGTGTCAGAAGTCCTTCAGCAACTCCTGACGGAAATAACACAGTTGTTAAGCTCGTTGGTGACTTCGACCTTCATCATCGAAAAGCAACCGCCACAAGTGATGAAGACGAACACCCGGTTTACGGCAACCGTGAGATTGCTGGTTGGAGGAAAGCTCAACGTGCACATGACCCCGCCTCAGGTCAAGGTGACGATTATATCTGAGGCACAGGCCAACGTCCTACTGAAGAATGATAAATTGTCCAAGAGCAGCGACGCAAGCGGAGAAATTTTGAATAACACCGGCACCATGGAGTATCAGCAGGCCACGAAGCAGTTATCGGTCAGTTTTAGAAACATGCAACTGAAGAAGATCAAGCGCGCCGAGAAGAAGGGCACCGAGAGCGTGATGGACGAGAAATTCTCGTTGCACTTCCAATCGCAGTTCAGCGTTGGAGGCGGTGAGCTTATGTTCCACGTATGGACACTATCGTTGCCTGTCGTCGTTATTGTACATGGTAACCAGGAACCGCACGCCTGGGCAACTGTGACCTGGGACAACGCTTTTGCGGAACCCGGCAGGAATCCTTTCTGTGTACCAGATAAGGTAAGCTTCGAACACTTATACAATTTACTCACCCATAGTAAATCATCCAACTGCAATATCTTCATAATGTATTGATGTTTTAGGTACCATGGAGTAAAGTTGCTGAAACTCTGTCGCTGAAGTTCAGAGCGGCAACCGGTCGGCCACTTACTGATGATAACTTACGTTTCCTGGGCGAGAAAGCCTTCCGCGGAAACTTCATCGATGGTAACCAATTGCTCAGCTGGGCACAATTCTGCAAGGAACCTCTGACTGATAGGAATTTCACATTCTGGGAGTGGTTCTACGCTGTGATGAAACTAACCAGAGAACATCTGCGTGGCCCGTGGACTGATGGGTAAATACTAAAACATTGAATCATTAATATATTAACTATAATAATATACTTATTTCTTACGTTTCTTGTTTTGCAGAGCTATTTTGGGCTTTATCATGAAAAGACAGACTGAGGAGATGCTATCAAATTGCACAAACGGTACATTTTTGCTCCGCTTCTCTGACAGCGAACTTGGAGGTGTAACAATTGCATGGGTTGCTGGTAAGAAAAACGTCGCTTGATCTGAAAATAATGAAAATAATAATAATCATTAGTTTTGTACTAAAATTTTCTATTTCTTTCTTTTTTAATAGAAACTACGGAAATTTTCATGCTGCAACCTTTCACATCTAAGGATTTCGCCATCCGATGCTTAGCGGACAGAATTGCCGACTTGAGTCATCTGACGTACCTCTACCCAGATACAACCAAAGATTCGGCCTTTAACAAATACTACACGCCGTTCCAAGGTAAATATACTATTTTTCTCTCGATTTCAACAAGCAGAAAAAAAACACAACATTCTTATCGCGTGAAATTTATCATATTTCAACGCGAATCTGGTGGTTATTTAGTGAGAAATAATATCGATCGATTGATTTGCAGACAATCAGCCGACGTCGAATAACGGTTACGTGAAACCTCTGCTGGTCACACACATACCGGGATGGAGCGGTCCTAACGCCGTGAGCTACCCGAACACTCCTCAACATCCGTACATGCAATCTCCGGATCCTGTGAGGGACACCCCATCGGTTGCAAGCAGGTATGTGCAACCTGCCCGCCCTAGTCGTTTTTATAAGCTTACTACAACAAATCACCGTAGTATTTCTAGATACTCATCATCAAGCATGGGATCGAATTACTAAACACAGAATATTAAAAAAAAAAAAGAAAAAAAAAGAAAGAAAAGAACAGTAAATACATATTTCGATGCACCTACAATTTTTGAAGAGAAAAAAAAAAGAGCAAATACTTATTATTTTTAAACTAAAACTTAATTATTATTATTTTTTTATATATATATATTTACATATTTTATAATCATTATTATTTTTTTTATATTTATATACACTTATAGATGTTAGATCCAGCTTTAATTAGAATTTAGAAAATGATTGAGAACAACAAAAAAATCACGCACTCTTACACGATTCTTATTTTTTTATTGAGCTAAAGACTGGAATAATGATGTTTTTAATTTTTATTATAAATGTATAGAAGTGCGAGAAGCCTTTCTTTATACATCACAAACAATAAATAAATATTTTTTTTACATTAGTTTTGTCTGATTTGATCATTATTATTATATTATACAAAGAAAAAAAAACTTTGTTATTGTTTTTTTTTTTCAATTAACAGTCGATGCTTACTTAACGTGCACTTCGCAGAGTTTGATGTGCACTTTAATTGGATTCGGCTAAAATTGAATGCGCGTGTATTTGCAGGTTGAATAGTTCATAATTTGTAGTGCATAGCGTAATATGTGTAAAAATTTATTGAGTACTTACTTACTGGACACTGAGCGTAGAAGAGTGGATTTATCAACGAGAGTGGAGAGGTTTGTTTCTAACAATGTTTGTCGTGGAGGTAGTCGATTTGTATTGAAGTGTGTTTGGATTATTATATTGTGAACTTGAAATATATGTCCTAATAAGCATGCTGCAAACAGACATAACCAGACATCTCCTTGCAACATTATTCTATGTGTTTCGTTATTCGGTTCAAAAAAAATAAACTTTCATTTCACATACATACTATATGTAACTCTTCACTCTCTCTATCTGTACTACTTCTTTCTACTCTACTCTATAGATTAGTACCTAATCCTTTCGATCATCCTATCTATAAGCTAATCAAAATTTAAAATTAATTAACTAAAAACAGATTTAAAACTGGATGGTCATTAAAGAAAGATATTTAATTATCATCCAGTTTGATTTTTGCCATTATTTGTGTTGCAAGTAATGGTTAAAGATGAAAATCAATTTATTTAAACCATTTAGAGATTAGTTAACCTTTTGGTTTGGGCGATATTCTTTGGTTTGGTCTGTGTTGCAGTATGTGTGATGTCTGGTTATATTTGTGTAGTTACGCGGGATCCGTGGCGACAACGGCAACCACGACGGCGAGCAACAACGCCATGGAATATTTGGAGACCTTCGACGAGAATATCGACCTGAACGGGATCGTAAACTTAAACGAACTGATGCAGGGCTATCGTCAATGAGCTGGATGAATGAGATAGAAAGAAAAAAAACACAAAACCTGTATGCAGAAGAGGATGATTGGAGAGATGTTGATGGATGGATGGATGGCGACGATGAGAGAGGAGTTAGGGACAAGTGGAATCATAATTATTAGTCAGGAGCAATGTCTTAAAAACCACAGCCCTCGCTCCAACCAATCGATCGTTTATTAATCTAATCTGTTAATGTAAGTAGACAACTTGACCAGGCCCTCGTCGTCACCGTTCAAATCATGTTTGTTTTTTTTTTATTAAATGTAATTATTTATTATTTCGTTATTTAAAAAGGAAAGGAAAAATTAAGATGAAAAACGCGTCTTGTTAAAATAATAATTAATATTTTATAATTGAAGAAAAAGAAGTAAATGATCATCGGGAGGGCTCGTGTGTAAATATGTTTTTTTTTTTTTATTATTTTAATTGCGCAAGTTTAAGTACAAAATGATGTGTGTATTTTATAATTAATTTTTTTAAAGTTTTACTTCGAGAGGAACGAATGCAATCGATATTATTATTATTTTTATTATTTTTTTTCGTGGTGATTTTAATTTTATTTGGAAACTATAGAAGTATATGAATATATATATTTTTTAAAACAATTGTTTGTTACCTTGTTGAATTGAAAGAGATTTTTCGATTATGTAGTAGATGAAAGAGTTCGGATATGTTATATTGATTATGATGATGATGATGAATCGAGAAGAGAAGAGCAATTTGAAGTATATATTACAGTCAGATAGATTATATATATTTAGGGAGGATGAGATGATATATTTATAGATAAATTCCCAATCGAACACACTCTATTTTTGCTATAGTTTTAGCACCCACCAGATTATTATATATATAAAAAAAATGAGCTTATTATTATAAATATATATATATATATGAAATTAGTGTCTTAATGAGGAAACATACGAGTTATGAAATACGATAAATATTTGATCTCTTTGCATGGAATTTATCACGCGAACACACACACACCAAAAGTTTATATATTATATGTGAAGAAAAAGAAACTAGAGAACTAGAGGAAAGACGTAGATCTTTTCCCAATAGAATCAGAAATCAATTAATTGAAGCAGAAAAAGTCTTGAGAGAGAAACTTCCAATCACTTTCATGTGCCTGTCGTTGAAAAATAATTACCTAGCATATATTAGAAACTAAATGTTTTTAAGAAGAGAAGCAAATCGGCGGACATCACTGTAATAAAAGCAATTTTTAAATCCTCACTTCTATAAAAAAAAGTCCATAAATTTATTTACATTTTATTTATTCATTTCGCAAACAATTAACAAAATGCTATGCAATTTTGTTGATCGATTTGACGAGTCGTTTTTAGAATCCTACATTGGATCATTCGAAACATTCCGCAAAATCAAATTGGCGTTATTATTTGGAAATTTTTGAAAACAAACAAAAAAAATGGGACCCGGAAACGATGCTGGCGCGCCGGAAAGCGCATCGCTTCCGGCTCCCAGCTGTTCTCCAAATAATGAGCTTTTTCCGGTCTGCGCTCGCGACAACCGGAAAAGCAAGGGGAAACAGGAAGAAACGAGAATTGATAGATCCTCGTGCATTTATCACATTCTCTTTGTTTTTTTCTTCCGTTCCCACTCAAATCCCTTTCTGATTTGATGTTTTCGATGTTTCGCATGATCAATGCTCAGCAAAACATTTATTATTTTCATTTTAAATCGGAATCATTTTTAATTCAATTATTATCGCTTTTTTTATAGAGGAAGGACACGATTTATTTTTTTGCTAATGAACGTGCAAAAATTGCTTTTAATTAGTCCACACGATGATTCATTATAGACTTCTCTATTACGTAGGCTGAAAAAATTTGTTAAACTTTAGATGCTCCAAGTTTTTTTTTTAATATATATGTGTTGCTATATATACAATTATTATAAATTATATTCTCTTTAACGTTGTAAAGAATTTTTTTTTAACAAATTGTTTCAATCTATTGCAATATTTTATTTTAATATTATTATAATGATATCTATTATTAATTATTTTTATTGTAATTATTATATTAATATCTACTTTTTTTTAATGTGTTTATTTAATTATTTTAAATAACTTTAGTTAAGTTGATGTAATTGCAATTTATATTTATAGATATATACAAATATTGTTTTCTCTTTATTAATATTAACGCTTTTTGCTGTTACGAGAAAACTTCTTTTTTTAACATCATTTACAATTTGTTTGTAATTTTATTTTCAAATAAAATCCATTGTAGACACATTATTTACAGTCTTTTCCCACTTATTTGCATACCCGCACCCAAAGAAATACCGAGTATTTGTTGATTTTTTCCATTTCGCAGCTGAATTTCGTGGAATATAACGTTATTTCTTTTTTCTCTCTTACGAGATTAACAATAATAAATTCCACTTTTACACAATTCTTGCAGTATCCATAATCATGATGTTGTGTAGCTATTGATTTTAAATATAAAAGGTAAGAATTATCTTATTTGTGATATAAATTTATATCTAAATACTAACTAATAAAACTACTCGTTCTTAACTTTAATCTTAACTCGGATAGGTCAGAGTCATTTGGATTTCAAAATGGAATAACTTTGGTTTCCTATGTACTAAAATGGGGACATTAGTACACTAATACTAATACTGAACTTGATATCATACATTTCTATAATGAGACTAAAACTGTTTTCAGAAATAGTCAGTTTTATATGATGTTGAAGGTTAACAGAAGAAGGCACCGAAAACTATTTTCAGTTAAAAATGGATATTTCAAACGAGCCAATCAGATTGCTGAATTTGTAAATTCAACCAATGAGAGCAAAGAGAACACGCAATGCATTATGGGTTCAAATTTTCCACAACTTTACATGTATCACATTTAAAGGATATCCGCGCTATTTCTGTGAATTACATGTACAATATAGCGAAATTTGTTGAAAGGATTAAATATAAATTGATATTTCGTCACTTACAAGTAATTATCTTGTAGAAACTTGCAGGAAACTTTCGTTCTGTGGAGGAGTTACTTTGCACAACTTTTCGTCTTCAAATGGCGTCACTTTCTCCGCAATACCAACTTTTTGAAAGTTAGAACATGTATTGTTATATATTTGTATTGCAAATTAAGAACTCTGCATTCGAGGATTTTGGTTTATATTAGGCATAAGTTTACAAGTACTTTAAAATTGATTTTATACTCAAACAAAAATAAGGAAATTTCAGTATTTAATTTTTAAGTTTAAGAAAACAAAAGCTATTATATATAATAGTACTCGAGTATAATTGTTAATTTATTCTTTTAATATTGTTATTAATAAGATTAAGACTTTTTAATTATTTGAAAAGTTTAAATTGTGATAATTCAAAAAAATAGTTGCTGAAAGTATGCAACCAAACTATCACCGACGTATGAAACATTTGAACCTTGATGACATTTGCCATAACCTATTAGTGATATCTGCTGAGCATGTACCAATTAGGATAAGAAAAATTGTTTATCATATAAATGTTGTATTGATTATTGAGCAATGATAACAACTAATTGACGCTACAGTTGAGTTCGAGAGAGTGCAAAGAGATGTTGTTCCAAAAAATTTCGAGCGTTTGCAATCAAGGAGGCTTGCTGAGGAGGTTCCTGCACACGAACAAAGTACAATTCAGGAAACACGAGCATCCCTTCAGCAGAACGTGGCGAATCCTCGGCGATGACATGAAGAAAATCGTAAATCCGCTGAAGAGGGAGGAGGAAAGGGGACCGTACATGCCCTTGAAAACCCTTCCGCCTCACGCGGACATCGTGATCATAGGTGGCGGAGCCGTGGGTTCGTCCATAGCCTACTGGATCAAAGAGAAAACGGGTCTTAAGGGGCTCAATCTCGTGGTCATAGAGAAGGATCTGTCTGTAAGAATGACCCAAATTGATAAGGTTGATAAATTAAAATATATATTTATGTATTTCAGTATTCAAAATGTTCAACCGTGCTCTCAATGGGAGGACTGAGACAGCAGTTCTCTTTGCCAGAGAACATTCACATGTCACTGTTCGGCGCCGAATTCATGCGAACTCTGAAGAAGCGGTTCGGAGAAGATGCAGATGTTTACTTCACTCCGAATGGGTATTTGATGATGGCCAGCGAGCAGGGCGCCGGTCAGCTGATGGACAATTACAAGCTGCAGAAGGAACTGGGAGCCGTCAACACGCTTCTGGGGAAGGAAGCGCTGAAGAAGAGATTCCCGTTTTTGAATGTCGATGATGTCGAGTTGGGCTGTTTGGGTTTGGAGAAGGAGGGATGGTTCGATCCGTGGTCGTTCCTCTGCTTGATGAGACGCGGAGCGATGGATCTGGGCGCGAATTACATAAGCGGCGAAGTCGTCGATTTCACGTTCGAAAACCGCGACGATATTTACGTTGAGGGTATCGATATGGGCGAGTACGAGGGTTTGGACGAGATTGTGGTGAGTGGAGGTTTTTTCCCCCTAATTGTTTTCCAAGTTGAAAAATCCTCAGATTTAAGGTCAAAACGGCTGACGGTGAATTGAACCACATCAAATTCGCTTACGCGATCATCGCCGGTGGCGGAGATTCCGGAGAGATCGCGAGGAAAGCGCGCATCGGCACTGGACCGGGAATGCTTTCTATACCTTTGCCGGTGGAGAAGAGGAAGAGATACGTGTACCACTTCGAGTGTCAGAGCAACGAAATGCCCGGAATTAACACTCCACTGACCATCGACTACACGGGAACTTACTTCAGGAGGGACGGATTAGGTGGAACGTTCTTGTGCGGATTATCGCCGGAAGCCCACGAAGAGCCGAGCATCGAAAACTTGGATGTAGATCATCAGTTCTTCGATGAAAGGGTTTGGCCGATCTTGGCGCACAGAGTACCTGCATTCAACAGCCTTAAAGTAAGTTCCAAATAACTGCTTCCAATCATCATATTAACAATTAAATGATTAAAGGTGAAAAACGCCTGGGGCGGATATTACGATTACAATTGTTACGACGAGAACGGCATCATCGGTCCACATCCCTACTACCACAACCTCTACATGGCCACAGGATTCAGCGGTCACGGAATACAGCAGGCTCCTGCTGTAGGAAGAGCCGTTTCCGAGTTGATCTTGGACGGAGGCTTCCAAACGATAGACTTGACCAGACTAGGATTCGACCGACTCATAGTCGACAAGCCAATGTTCGAGTCCAACATAGTTTAGAAAAATTGTTTATTTTCCAATGGATTTAAATTATTTATAAATAAAAATCGAAAACATGCGCGGATAATATCATTACAAACTCGACGTCCTGCGAGGAGAAGAAGAAAAGAAAGAAATTACCGCCTAATTAAAAACGTTGCTCATCCATATTTTCTCTCTCTTATTTGAACTGGCCGGGGCCTGGACCGAAGAGGCTGTTGCCCTGTTTGGAGGCGGCGCGCGACGGTGCGAATCCCAACATCTTTTGGATGTTCTGCCTGATCGACATTGTACATAAAATGTAGAGGAAGATGAACGAGCATTCACTGTAATCCTCTCCGGACAAGTTTCTGTGGCTCAGACCCTGGATCCACGATATCGGCATGAAAGGCAATTTAGCTACAACCCTTCCATCAAAACTAAAAACCAAATCCAATTTAAATAATTAGGTTACAATCACATGATCTTAAAAAAACTTACATGCTATTGAACATACTCAAAAGGGCAGTGAAAGCAAAACCGATGGCAAACATAGATTTCATTTTAACAAAAGACAAATCCTTATTGTTGTTCTTCAACCTCTCCTCCTCTCGCTCAATCTTCTTCTTGTGCTGCTTATCCAAGGACTCTCCGTGAGCCTCTTTGCGCTTCTCCACTGCAAAATCGAAAACCAACATCAGTTTAATTCATAACTTCTGATAGAGACTTACGTTTCTTGCTCTGCTTCTCCACTTCGTTCTTCAATTTCTGATATTTTTCGGTCCTGTACACCAGAAGCCACGTTAAACCCTCGCCCAGAAGCGCCGTGCAAATCGAGATGAAAACGATTAAAAGAGTATCGGCCCACATTGTTGTATCTCTCAAAACGGAAATTGTTAAATAGATTAATTTAGAATTATTTAATAAATAGGGTTATAAAACATTTTCGATGGGGATGACGTTTAATTAAAGTTCGATGACGTTACCAGTATCAAATCTAGCTAACTTCATCCTTAATTTATATCGAATTTTTCTATTTCTATGAATAATCTTTATGAATTCGCGTTAATTTAAATTTTAGAAATATCTATTCTTGTATAATAAGAATAAAGCTGTTGAAATTGTTTAAAGTTTGAATTATTCTGTTAATATTTGAACTACTGTTTGTTTATTGTTGAAGTTTTATTTGAACTACTATGCTAACTTCATGCTATAATTGGATTGGCGGGATGTCATGCGCGACGAGCATCTGTCAAATGACGGTTGGAACATTTAAATATCAGTTGATTTCAAAAAAAATACCTCAGTTTGTTGCAAAGTAGAAAAAAGGCAAAAAAATTAGCAAGATACGATGGCTTTATCAGCTCCACACACGCCGAGGAACCTGTACGCCACCCCGCGAAGAGTAAGGCAACAGCAAGCGCTCGCACAGACTCCAGAATGTTTCAATAAGGTCACCATGGAAACCCCAGTGTCAGTCCCAAAGAGACTGAGCAGTCGAGAGAAATTTGACCAAGAGAGAAATCTGACAGTGGCTGTGAGGGTGAGACCGATGAATGCAAGAGAACTGGCCTGCGTGAGTGTCTCTGATGCTGTAACAGTGGAGGATCAGGAAATCATTATTAGATCGAATGTGATAGGAAACCAGACGAATCTTGATCACATCTTTCAGTATGATCACGTGTTTTGGTCTTGCGACGAGCACAATGATATTTACTGCGGTCAAGAGGAAGTCTACCAGACAATGGGTATGCCATTGCTGGAGAGTGCGTTCAGGGGATACAATGCATGTTTGTTTGCATACGGACAGACTGGTTCGGGGAAGAGTTACAGTATGATGGGACAGAATACTGGAGATGTTATTGACATTGACGTGAACGCGGGAATAACGCCAAGATTCTGCAAAGAACTGTTCGATAGGGTTTCTGTGCTGGAGTGTCCTGCTTCGGTGGAGGTGAGTTACTACGAGATTTACAACGAGAAGATTCACGATCTGCTGTCGGAGCAGACGACGAATAAAACGCCTCTGAAAGTGAGGGAGCATCCGGTTTGGGGTCCGTACGTGGTGGACTTGAGCGTGCACAATGTGAAATCTTACAAGGAGTTGCGAAGCTGGCTGCTGTTGGGGAACAAGAATCGGGCGACGGCTGCGACGGCGATGAACGAGAAGTCTTCACGGTCGCACAGTATTTTCCAAATTGAGGTTTGCTTATCCGAAGGATCGAAGGAGGGTAGTTCGTCGAGGAGGAGCAAGATCAGTTTGGTGGATTTGGCGGGTAGCGAGAGGATTTCGAATGCCATGAACAACGAGGAGAGGATCAAGCAGGGAGTCAGCATCAATAAATCGCTGCTCACATTAGGAAAAGTGATCTCTGCTTTGGCTGAAAACAAGAAGTCGACGCAATTTATACCGTACAGGGAATCGGTTTTGACCTGGCTTTTGAGAGAGAGTCTGGGTGGGAATTCGCTGACGGCGATGTTGGCCACAATAACGCCAGCTTCTAGCAACATCGACGAGACTTTGGCGACGCTGAGATACGCGTGTCAGGCGAGATCTATAGTGAATAGGGCTCGAATCAACGAGACTCCCAACGACAAGTTAATCAGAGAGTTGAGAGCTGAAGTGGAGCGACTGAGGGCTTTGACGCTGAACAACGAACGCAACTCCATGTGTTCCATGATCAACGAGCAAGAAAACGATGAATTAAGAATGAAACTATCCATGGCCGAGGAGCGGCTTTCAGCTGCAAAGGATAACTGGGAGCAACGCTTCATGGAAACCAGAAACCAATTGGTTGAAACGGAGAAGAGGAAGGAAGAATTGGAATCGCACATTAGAGTGATGAAGGAATCCGAGACGATCCAAGTTAATCTATCTCCGTACAAAACTAACTTTCTACAAGAACTAGAGAATATTCTAACAAATAGCGCCAAGAAGGAGAAGAAAGCAAAGATCATGAGCAAAACGGAGGTCGGTTTAGTTATGAATCAGATCTACGAAGGTCTCAACAATCTGAGACCGACGGTGGATGCAGTCGACGATAACGCGAAGCTGCTTTTCGCGAGGGTCAATAAAATGTTGCAGAAGTTCGAGTCGAATTTGATCAACGGATTGAACGAACAGGGGTGCAGTAAAAAAGTTACATTCGATTTATAACGACCGCTGCGCTTCACACAATTATTTATTTGTTATATAAATATTATTAATAATTTTTTTTTTTATATATATTTTATATAAACTACATCTTTCTGTATTATTTTTGAAGACTTAAAAAATAAATATTTTTGTTTACTTGGGACAACATTTCTTTTGTGTTTCTAATAAAATCTAATTTTCTCGTTAGGTTTTAATCTAATCCAATGATAATTGAAAACAATCAACTGGTGTAAACTTTATTGAATGTGCAAACTTTCAAGTTGATAATAAATTAATTACATCGTAAGAGAATATGGATTATTATTTTTTTTCAAAACAAAAAATGAAACAAATCAAAATATTATTTTTAGTTTACACTTGTTTTATTAACGTACCCTTCCAATCATTTAAATCACTTATTGTTTACGTAACCATGGCGATGGAGTCTGTACGACTGTCGTTGTCATGGTAAAACTCATTTTTTTTTTTTGGTTAAGGTCTATCGTCATGGCTTGTTATTGTTAAGAATAATTAATATAAATTATATAAATCACATTCGCTTTAGCTACAATCACAATCATGTGGGGAATTTATCTTGTACATCGCATCTCTGGAAGTTTAATTTCATACAAACAGTACGATTCAATTCGTATCAAGCATAAGAAACCTTTAAATTAAGAATTCACGAATAATGAGGAAATACAATTCTGCATATTTATACCTTACATTTTCTAATAAGGCCATTCTCATTTCATTTTTTTTTTCTTACAAATAATTCAAAGGTTTCAATAGAGACGAGTTTGTTAAAATTGTTTCTCTTTTCAAGTGTTAGTTAATCCGAACACAATTTAGGGTAAAAAAAAAAGAATTAAGCAAACGTTATTGTTTTTCTTTTGAAGAAAAGTATATTCTTTGTTCGAATTTTGTTCAAATTTATTTAAATTTCATTTTGTATTTGAAAAAAAAATAGAATTGCATCCAGAGGCAAGAGCCAGTATCGTTATTTAATAAAGCGTTATTGCATAAAAATCACCCATATTTTTGTTATCGTATCGAAATTGAGGTAAAAGTCTTGTCTTAATTTAATATCAATGCGCTTGAATATCGTTCATTTGAGTATAGACTCAAAATTGCACTCTTTCTTGCGGATATTTTAAATTAATTAATTAATTATAGATGTTAATGTTTGGAGCCGTTTTTCTGGTAATCGGATAGGGTGCTTTCCAGGCTCTGAAGAGAGGTGGCGGTAGATACTTGATCCATGCAGGCTCGTGCCTTCTCCACGTCGAGGATGCGCTCCTTGATTATAGGTAGAACTGGCGGTGACATTGGGACGTCCGCATTGGCGGCGGCCAACCTGAGAAGATCCTTCTGCGATTCTCGAGCTTCCACCATGAAGATGCTTTCCTTCACCTCTTTGGACGAGTACTGATCGATCTTGTCGTAGATCACTCCGTGCATGCCCAACTCCTTCAGGTACTTGATCGTGGCGGGATCGGCGTTGTCGTCGCCCCAGCAGAAGATGACTAGATTGGCTTCTCGAGCCATTTTCACCTGAACCACACAAACAATAGAAATCAACAGTTCTTCGTTGTATCTAATTAGTTAAAGCTTACGAATTCAGGTTCTCGCAGGATATCCTCCGTGTGCACGTTAACGCCTAAGATTTCGACCATGTTAGCGTAAGCCACGGCTCTCTTGATGTCCCAGCACCTGGGATCTTTGTACTTTGGCCATTTGGATGTTTCGCCTTGCGTGAGGAACATCACCGGATACTTGTTCTGCTTCATCCTGATCATCGAACATATATCTGGATTGAAGCACGAGAAGATGATCCTCCTGCCTCCTGCGTGCTTCAGGACGACCTCCAGTATCGTATCCAAATACAGGTTCAAATCGGTCGGATGGTACAGCTCGTAACTGTCGTCCAACCTCTGCATGGTCCACTTGATCTCAATGTTGAAGCCGACATGAGGATTCAACACTTCAAAGGCGTGCTGCAACGTCGGGAACGGCTGGTGCTCCTCCAGATCTTCATCGAAGAAACGCGGATTCTTCGATTTACCCTCGGATAAATGATAAACCTGAAAACAATCACATGAACTTCTTTCACATAATTCAAAAGAAAATAAATGATTTTATGAAATTTACATTTAATTATATAGTTTTAATTACAATTACCTTCAACAATCTTAACTGCTCAAAAGTTAGATCCTTGATGGGTATCTCGAGCATGTCGGTTTCGTGCAGCTCCTTCTTACGTTTCATCGATATGCAAACGTGGAAGTCGTGATAGATGATGGGTACCATGTCTTTGCTCAACTGGACGTCGAACTCGACGAAATCCGCTCCATGGTCAATGGCCGTCTTCAGACTGGCGATGGTGTTTTCTCTAACTTCAGCGCAATTCTTCATATCCTCCTTGAAACTGTTTCCAGCGCCCCTGTGACCTACATCCAACCCTTGCCTGGTCTCCTTCCAATGCCTTGCATAGGTTAAACTCAAATCGCACTTCACCCCTGGCAATGGCTTGATCACAATGTACTCCAATCGGAGCTCACCCATTGGTCTGTGCTTGGTACTTGTTATGGGCAAGACCATGTTTCCTTCGGAACCTCTCAACGAGCTTGGCAATATGTAACTGAAGCCTGCATGGTATGGGGGATCTCCCTCAGAGAACCTCGAACTGTACACGTACAAGTCAACTAAGAATGCAGTTGTTTGGGGAAAGAGAACTGTGGACTGGAAGATAAGCATCGCACCTTCCTTGTACTCTTCACCAAATTGATCCTGGACATGGAAACCGGGATCGAGCGCATTCAGATCAGCCACTTCTGTCATTGCATGTTTGGGCATCTCTATGATGTCTTGCGTGTCAGTGCTTAAGGACTCCTCAAGAGCTTCAGACATGGTCTTGGGGATATTGGTGCTGTGCTGCAGGATGTTGACAGGCGTGACTTTGATGAAGATGTTGCGATTTACGTATTTCGGTAGCCAGATTGTTATTGGATCTTTGGTCAGTTTGATCTGCACGGTGGTTTCCTTGTTCAGCCAACCCTTGTCGATTCGCAGATTCGTTTTGTAGTCGCCGTAGAGTTCGGGTTCGGCGCTCGAGTTCGGCGACGAATCCTGCGCTTCGATTCGCCTCGGCGTCAGATTGGATTCCCAATTTCGCACGATCGATTGGAGCCCCAGCTCGACGACGATGCACACGCAATATCTGTAATTCACCGCCACCCTGTTGGGGATCTCGACAACAGCTGACCAGATCTCAGAGTCGTCTTCCTGCTGGAGAGGCACCACCTTGTCAGGTGCCCAGGATCCCAATTCCGGGGGGCTTCCTGAGACACACACCACCTCACCAGGCCTCAGCTCTGGCACCCTGACACGGAACAGCCAGTTTCTGGGATAGTATTGGGACATGGTGCTGGAGATGCTGTGCTCTTGAGAGTCACCTCTTCCTCTCCTTATGTTGGCGTTGTTCGGGTCCTCAAGGAAAAACCACTTCTGCATAGTCTTATTAGATTGACGGACTATCTGCAATGAAAAGAAAAAGTATGAGCGCGGAACAGAAAGCCCATTAACGTGTTCACGATACAAATGAATGACATTATGAGTAGGGAAAATAAAAATAAACTCGCTTGCTTTTCAAAGTCACCTGATTTGTTGGAGCATGTTTGACTCGCAACACTCGCGTTCTCTCTACCACTGCAAACTGCAAGCAACTGAATCAAACTGAATTACAACAACGACGAAACCTCGTTTCTAATCGTGCCTTTTCATTCTGCTGCTAAACAGAACACAGATGATCTTTGCGCGCGCAATTTACGCAACGTGGCAACAACAACTACACTTTAAATTACTATAAAATATATACCCTCAGAGGCAACAACCTTTGTCCTTCCACCTGTTAAAAAGGAACATCTACAATCTAACGATACGTTTCAACGCTTTACTTATGTAATCTATCTTACAGCGAGAGAATCATCCTGACCTACAAAAGAAAACAAACAAATCTAAAAAGTTCCTTGACCTTTTGCACTAAAACATATTCGCAGCATAATTAAAAACTGATTCTAATGCTAAAGAAATAGATAAATCTTTTACATGCCAAAAGGAAAATGCGAAAATTTCCATTGCAATCATATAATTAAGCTTATTAAATGAATTCCGTTTAAACCGCAACGCAACGTTTTTTTTTCCTTTTTATATATATATAAAAATAGGTGGCTATTGATTTACGACAAACAATCGTTATGAGCTCCAACTACGTTCTAGTTGCCTTTGGCACCGATTCAAATGTTTCAATTTATCCTTGGCCAACTCGATTTATTTACAATTACGCTTTTGTTTCTTGCTACAATTAAAACGCGAACAGAAACAAAATATATACGACGTTGATAAGCTATCAAATATTCTTCTATTTTTTTTTTCTGATTCCAATTAGATTTGGAAATCCCAATTTGCGGTTTCGCGAAAAACCCATTTATCTTGGTAAACAAGTATTAGAGAATTACTTCAAAATGTGTTGTAGAATTTACGTCTTTGAGACAATGTTATCTAAATGCATGAAAAACTCTGACGTAAATACATTAAAATCACCGTGAAATATTTTGCTTGCAAATTTACAAAGTAATCTATTGTAAAAGTGAAAAAAAAAAGAGTAGTTATATAATAAATATATCAATAAAGTTTTATTTTTTTTACATCGTCGACTTTCTCCGATATAGAAAAAGAAAGTGCTCGGATTACTTTCGATTTCGTTTGAAGAATGAACGCGTCGTGAAAGAGAAAATAATGTATGTTAATATTTGCTTTAACAAGTGATTTGCATTGAAAGTGGGACAGGAATAGCGCAATTGCAGTTTTTGATAGAATGCGCTTGTTGTTTTGTTTGTCGCTACCGCAAAACTAAAGGACACGGACAAAGCAAAGGTTAAATAAAATGTATCGTAGATGATCTAACAGGACGCCAGAATAAGATCCAGAGTGCGCGCGGAACAACGAAAACGCAAGACTATCAAAGAGTTGCTGGTGGTCAAGGCGACGTAACTTGTTTGTAGGACGAAACAATAAAACAAATTGTTTTTTTTGTTCGTTGTCATTGGGAACGGAAACTATAATGATGAGTTAACATACGTGCAGCGCTCGAACACGCAACTTGGATTTCGTAACGCTGTTTTTATCACATTTTTTGTTTTAATCTTATCAAAATGAGAAAAATAACAAATTATATTTGTTAATAGTTCGTAATAAGCGCTAATTTCAGTTTAATTATAATAAAATAATATTAAATATTAGAATCGATTGGAAATCAACAGAAACTTGGGTTAATAAAGAAAGTTAAAAATTTATTATTTTCTAATAAGATACACATATTAGTTTACTATTTATATGTCAATGAGTTTGACAAAAGCAAACTAGATTAGATAACAGAGTAACAATTTCAAAATGAAATGAAATTTTGAAACCCATTTGTGCAATAAATAATCTGACAATCAACAACTTACCTTTATTACAAACAATGTAAATATACAAGTCTAGTAAAACAGGATGAAATAAATTGGGTTTGATCGGGAAATAAATGAGAGACTGCGAAAGTTCGGTGTTCCGATGATCGGTGGAAAAATTATGATATCTGCATTTATTTAAACACATTTGTTTCGAACGAAACAAAATCGTAATAATAAATTAACACAATCAAATCATGTAACAAAATTAATGGAAAAAAAAAAGAAAATCAATCAATCGTCATCATTATGATACACACATATATATATATATGTTTGTGTATATATATATATATATAATTATGCAGTGGACAATTTCCCACTGAAATTGTTGTTTCTCGACACAGAAAAATCGTAACGTAATCAATGAATGTATATAATTAATGTGAGATTATTCCGTAAATAATAATATTAATAATTGTAATAGCAGTAATAATAATAATCGTAGTATATATATATACATAAACTTACAAATTGTACAACAATTATATATCTATATACGACACTCTATATAAATATATATATATATATAGAAAAGAAAATATATAATAATGATTCAATTAATTTGTTTGTTTTAGAAAACTTGCTTCATACCTTATATAAAATTCACACTTTTTCTTTCTCTTAACTTTCTCGTTAAACTATCAACTAGTAATGTTTTTGTTTTTATTTGGGGGGAAGGTTTGAATCGCGTGGAAACTCGAAAAGGGGGGAAAAGAAATGTAAAATTGTCCCGATGCGACGGCTCTCGCTGCTCGACTGCCGACGAATTGTCGGTCGCTTCCCGCTAATTGCGGGCATCCTTATCAAAGAAACACCACACACACATACAATACACTGTACACGACCGCTTCTGTATTCGAATGTGTCCTTCCTTAAACACCACCTTCTTCGTTCATCTCATCCAACAATTCTTGTCGCAACGCGACAATGTCCCACCACTTTTGTATTATTTACAATTTATTGCACGCTGTTTTCAAGCTACACGCGATATATCACAATACGTTTTACTTATTATCATCTTTGAATTACTCTACTAGTGCGTTCCGATGTTCGGAGCGTGTACTAGTTGGGATGAACGAAGTGGCAGTTGTCGCGATTCCGGCAGAATCCGTGCTTCTTCACGTTCATACAGAAACGACCTCCGCCGCCGCCGCCGCCGCCTCCACCACCACGATTCGGACCACCGCCACCCCTGTTGTTGTTCCAGTTGCCGGGGTTGGGCCCGGGACCGGCCATCCGTAACCACGGACCGTTGCCGCCTCTTCGGAATCCTCCACGGCCTCGCATATTGTTGAAGTTGTTGAACATGGGTGGTCCGTTGAAGGGTGGTCCTCCGCCGAAGCCGTTATCCGGCGGCGGCGGTCCTCCGAAGTTGTCGAACATGTTCGGCGGACCGTTCATCATATCCGGTGGCGGATGACCCGGCGGTGGCATACCGTTCCAATCCGGGTTCGGCGGTCGGATGAGGTTCGGTGGCGGCATGAAACCGCCCGGACCGAACGGCGGCATGTTCGGTGGCATGTTGTTGGGTGGGAATCCGGGACCCGGTGGGCCGGGCATTCCCATGAACGGTGGTCCTCCGGGTCCTCCTCCGCCCATGTTCGTGAAGATCGGCGGAAGGTTGGGTACGTGCGGTGGGGAGCCTTTCGCTTCGGGCCACGGTTGTATCGGGTTGTCCTGATCCGGATTGTCCGGATCCTCGAGCGGGATGATTATGGGGTTGACCATCGCGTGCGTCTCGACGTCCGGCTCTGTCGCCGAATCGGGGATGCGGTTGTTGAAGTAGATCGCCTGAAGGACGCGTTTCTCTCGCGCGAACTGGATCTCCTTCTCCAAACTCTTCGAGCCGAGCACCACGGTGAGATCGGCCAGCTCGAGCTCCATCATCGGCCTGTACGGCAACTGCGCTTCCATGTTGTCCTCGTTGGGCAGCTTCCTCGACCGAAGCGCCTCACGCTCGCTGCTCATCTCCATGCGCGCCATATCCATGAACGGCTTCATCACGTTCACGCGCTCCGTCTCGTCCAGCTCGAAGTACTGCACCTCGACCAGATCCGCATCCGCCTTCCAACGGATCGACCTCTTGGGTCCTTTCCGTTTCGCGTACGACAGCACCCCCTTCAAACCGTTCGCATCAGTCTTCGTCGTCTCTCTTACTTCGTCCTCCTCGTCCGGCTCCGCCGGGGTATCGGGAATCTCGGCGCGGCGCTCCCCGTCATCGTTGTTACTCTTCTCCTCGTCAGCCTCCATGGCACTCTCGCCCTCCGCCAACGTATCCTGATAGAAGTTGGCTGGAGTTATAGCCTTCAAGTTCGTAGGAGACGTCGGCTCCGAAGGCGGCGGTGAGCTGTCCTTCGACGCGCTCGGTCTCCTCTTCCTCTTCTTCGGCTCCTTCTTCGCAGTCGCCGATGCGGTCAGCGCGTCCATGAATATATCGCTCTCTTGCAAAATTGCCGCTGCAATTACGAAAAAAAAAACAAATTAAAAATCAAATTAAAACAAAATTTAAAAACAAATGATCCGGCACGGCATCTGGATTTCTTTTCTTTTTTCTTTGGAAATAAAAACCGCAGTTCTGCATACGAATTTATTTCTTCTAAAAATGGAAAGATTAATAGTATAAATATCATCAACAAAATCGAGAGCAAAAGAGTGGCGCAACAACAATATAAACAATTCCTAAAAAGAAAATAAACGATTCATCAAGATCAAGATGAAGAAATTTGTCAAGAATAAAAATATGTTAAGAATTGATGTTCAAACAAAGAAAACAGTATTGAAAGATAATTGGACAAATCTAACTGTTTGCAATTAAAACATAAATAGCAATATTTGAAATGTTTTAAGTAATTAAATCGATCATTGAAGATGCAATTTAGGATTTAAACGAAAACGTTCATTTCCGATTCGTAAATTGAAAGTTAAATGAAGCGTGACTGAGTAACTGAACTTCGAGTGAATTTTCTAGTGTACTGTTTGTCTTGATTGTACTGTTTTTTTTTTAAATTATTATCAAAATTAGGTAAACGGAACGCGTAAATTATCCGATAATTTACAATGCAAATGCAAACGATAAGCGGCGCCTACTTAACATTTCCGTTAAATAATTTGCGATTCGTTTGTTTTGAATGGTTCATTGTAATTAGTGAAGAAAAAGAATGAACGTAATTTGGCTTTAACAAAAGAGAGAAGAGAAGAGAAAAACCGTTCGAAATATAATCGGATGGCTTAGTCAGCGTGACGCAAAGATGAAGCGCGCGGCGCGTGACGCGCAGGATAAAAATACGTGCAGATCGTCTGCTCTTTGACGAAAACAAAAATGAAAACAATAATAAATAAAGGGGGAGAAAAACGGAAGAATCCGCCGTCCCTCAACGCGTTTCCGTGAACCGGATATCCGCCGCCCTTGATCACAAACAACATCGCGCCAAAATCAAAATCCTTCATGAGGGTTGAAAAAAGAAACATAGGGGGGG